CAACTCTTGCCGGGGTGGTGAGAAGGAACTGAGGGAGGCAGTGCCCAAGCCCCTTTCATGCCATCACTTGGCACATGAAGACAGCGGGATGCGTGCGCCACCAATGGGTATGGGAAGTCTCTTGCTCGAGTGCATTAGGTGCACACCTACAGTGGAACGTATACATAGACAATCACACAAAGGAAAACATCACCTACCAGAACTATTGGCAGAGAATTCAGGACCAGAATAGGAAGGGAAGGGAACCTTTCAGACAGGATAGCCTCAGGTCTTTTTACTAATCCATTCCACAAACCCAGTGTGAACAGGGGGACCAAAGGTTCCCAGGTGTACTCCAAGATTCATGACCTTGTGAGATTACATCTCCAAGTCACGGCAATGTGAAGTCATGGCAAATAATGTCACTTAAATGCCTCAAAGTGGCATCCCTGACTTGCAGTGGGGTGGAAAACAACAACAGCTATGAACTCTAAGCCCCTATTAGAAATATATACTGCAGTAATAATCTCCACAAGCTGCAGTTTATCATAGTGTCAGTAGAGTATTTACAAGGGATTGCTCTAGTATATATATATATATATTAGAGAAAGAATTACGGCGTACACAACACATGTAAAGCCACTAGCTATTCATCTGGGCAAGCTTACAAAGCAGGAGATAAGAGATGGGGAGAAGACAGATACTGCCACAATGGAGGGAGAAAGGAAGCATGAAGCTATGGAAGTGGCCAAGGGGGGAACAAAGCCATATGCACAGAGGAACTCTGCATACACCATAAGCAAAGGTTTCAGAGTAGCAGCCGTGTTAGTCTGTATTCGCAAAAAAAAAAAAAAGGAGTACTTGTGGCACCTTAGAGACTTACCAATTTATCTGAGCATAAGCTTTCGTGAGCTACAGCTTTATGCATCCGATGAAGTGAGCTGTAGATGATGAAAGCTTATGCTCAAATAAATTGGTTAGTCTCTAAGGTGCCACAAGTACTCCTTTACCAGAAGCAAAGAGTCCTGCAGAGAAACAGAGTGGATAGGAAGTCTTTCCTGTTTAACAAAACTACCTTAAAAACTACAGCTCCCAGAATCCTCTGTCACACCAGCAGTTGGTTTGAGGTCAGAAAAGAAGCTGCGCTCAAAAATGTTTGTCTGATTCAGGTCTCCCTGCAGTATTTAACGCTGCTGCCTTCAAGCGTTCCCTCCCACTGGCTCGTTATTGATGCCTGGCCCAGGCATCTAAGCTGTCAATCTCAGTAAGGCAGCTAAGTAACTGGAACAGCATGACACAGGAGGGGCGTTGGTTATAAATCCAGCACTGATCACCATCAAAGCATGGGGAAAGCTCTTCCCTAAAGATGCTGCACAGACACAAGCAGCATGCTTGAGCTACCCAGCTGCTGTCGCATGGACTCTCTCCAAATGTCTCTGTGGAGCTGGACTTGTATTCACAGCACGCCCTAACAACTAGAGAAGAAGGGGGAAAGAGCTGAAACAGAGTCTGGGCTACACATGGGACTTGTTGGTCCCCACCAGCATGTGATCCCCCTTCTAGAGATATATTCTGAAGGTGCAGATATATTTACAAGCACTTTAAGGTCCTTAGATGAAATGCACGCTATAAGACGGAAGGAAAGTCATTGATAAACAGTGCTTTTTTATAAATGCCATTCTCCTTTCTCAAACCCACCTGGACAGCGAATAAAGGCAGAAGTAAACACCGCTTAGATCTTTTTATAAAGAACAGCAGCCTCAGAGTCATGGCCCATTCTCCTCTTACCCACGTAGATTGTAACATCCACGACTACATGTGAACTCTTGGCCTCTGCATTAGCCTACAAAAGCCAAAAGCCCCAGGCCAGGTCTCGCTGCCATGGAAGGTGCTGTTCAGACCCACATAAAACTATCCTAAAGCGGCACAACAGACCACAAAGTCTCACTAAACGTAGTTCCAAACACTGCACACTTAGCAGGACGGAATTAACTTTTCAGCTCCCCGGAGCTTTATTCTGGTTTGTTCGTTGGAAGAGAAAGTGCCATTTTTGACAGAGTGGGTGAAATTTATAATCAAAGCGTCCCAGCACAGCCAAAAGGGTGAGATACGGAACAACACTGTCAACATGGGATGCTCAGCAAAGCAGGAGAAAACGTTAAGTTAGAAGGATGGCAGCAGCTGCCAATAAGGACAAAGGCGAGAAAGAGCAGAGTCCAAAGTACTTGACCTGCAGGAAAGGTCTCTTTGAGGAGGGTCATATAAATACAGCAGGGAGAAGAATGCATAACCTTTGCCCGGATTTCCAATCTGTGAAGGAGAGGAGGGCTGGCATTGATAAGTGGACATGAATAATGAGCAGTAGCTCTGCAGCAGACAAGCCTGCTTTGGCTTTCTCTCTCCCATCCTCTGGCACCACATCCCACAGGGTCTCCCTGGCTGACACTTCCCATGAGCAGCTAATACTCAGAGGGATGACTTTCTACAAGCAAAGTGGGCTCTCCTCCTCCTCTACCCAGAAGTGGTTCCCACACCACACTGGACCTATCGTCCAACACCACTGTACAGCCCCTACTCAAGGTGTGAGCTAATATTCCCCCATCTACCCATTCCTCTTCCACTGTTTTTTACTTGAGTCTCATTTTGTTTGGTATCTCAAAGTAGATGGGAGATCCTGGCTTCTCAGGAAGTAGACAAAGAATCAGTAAAGGAAGCTGGCAGCCAATAGCAGCAGCTGACATCCTCCTCCAAGGTGAGATGCATTTCAAAAGGAAGGAGGTTTAATTATTCCTTCTCAAGGACATTTTAATCAGAGGCAGTTGTGTGAATTCTGCACTCTAAGCTCATTCTCTTGCTTGTTCATAGCTCTTTGCCTCCCTCCTTTCGCTCTCTCTCGCGCTCTCATTTTCTCCCTCTTTTTATTCCCTTTCTTTTGTCTCCCCATGCTACTGCCCAGCCCCCATTTTCCGAGCTCTGGTAGGGTGCTCTGTCTCAAGCAGAGCAGAATTTATCAGGGGAAGCATGTATCCAATCTCCACTCTATCTGAAGACTCCATCTGGCCACATTAAGAAAAGAAAGAACCAACCAACCAACTGGTGTGGGGGAGGAGGGAAGGGGAAGAAGAAAACCACAGCTGAAACACAGAAGGTCGTCATCACCTTTACGTTTCATATTTCAGTTGACAGAGATCCTGAGAAGGAACAGAACGCAAATAAGCTCAGCATTCAAATGAGACACTGGTCTGTGCTGCAGCCCACCACGATTCTCACGACAAGGGTTAACTGCAGAAGCATTTCCACAGTCCACTACCCGTGGGTCAAAAGGAAAGCTGGCTTAAAGAGCAGCGCTACTGGGGGGAGGGAGGGGGCGACTTCAGTCACAGGTTGGGAATGTGAATCTCTGGCACTTATGTGTGAGTCACAACACCTCTGGCAGCCAGGTGCACGAATCCTGGTGCGATCATGCAGGTCCTTTCACGCTGGGAAGCTGTAGATTGAATGCTGGCACTTATCCCCGTGCTGTGGGCCTCGTTGCGCTGGGATGCTGGATGTGTGAATCTTGGCACGACTGTTTAACGTGTGGATCCAGAAACCCTCAAAAGCTATCAGAATTTGGTGTTTACTCTGGACAGGTGTTAAACAGCTTTTTAAATCTAGCAACTGTCCACGGTTTTGGCCAATCGTTACTGTAAAACCGAAGAACACCGACAATATAGGTAGAAAATATGAGTCCTTTTTGCTGTATCATTTGTTTCCATTAAGCAACTGTCGTCTTCCTTAGAGGTCTTCGATTCTTCGCAGAGCCAGTGGGAGCAGGAAATGGCCTTCGCCCTTAGGGCATCTCAACAGGCAGAAGTGCGTTCCGTCTCAGAATGTAGGGTCTGATCCTCTCCATTGAGGTCAGCTGGAATTCCACCTTTGACATCAGTGGGAGCAGGATCCTATGTGGCAGATGTGCCAGTGGAAGTAAGATGCAGCCTGCTTTCTTACAGCTGTGGTGGCTCAGCAGGGCTAAGAGGACTAAAAATGTAACAAACGCTCACTTGTCTCATTGAAGTCAGCAAATCGGAGACGTATTCTGTGTAAGTCCCGAGTGGTATTATTAGAAAGCTTGGAATGGGCAATAGGGGATGGATCGCTTGATGATTACCTGTTCTGTTCACTCCCTATGAAGCACCTGGCACTGGCCACAGTCAGAAGACAGGATACTGAGCTAGATGGACCTTTGGTCTGACCCAGTGTGGTCGTTCTTTTGTTCTAGGACTCTGAATACCCACAGGCAGTTGTGGAGTAAAGCAGTGGCCTTTTGACGTAGTCACGTTTCTTGAGAATATACTTTACAGTCTCTATATTTTCTGTCAGTGATTTGGCTGTTAAGCATTCAAAACAGGATTTTCAGTTCATCTTTAACTAGGTATAGGTGGGAATAACATAAAACATGCAGGTGGGAATTAATGAAAAAAAATGTATTTCCACTCTAACATAAGCAGAGTAAGTTTTCAGGGCTGACAAAAGGACCAATGAAAGCATGGCGGACCTAGAGCCTTCTACAACAGAAACACATGCAAGGGCAAGGGGTTGACAACTGTACATGTAGATCTGATTATACATCTGTCTCTCAGATCCACTGGCAGCAGGGATAGGAAGAGGGGGAAAAGAGAGAGAGAGAGACAGTCCACTAGAACAAACCCTCAACGAAGCAGCAGCAGAGTATTCAGCAAAAAATTATCAGAACCCCTCGCAGGTCCCCACACTTCAACTCTTCTGGGGCACCAAGGCTCAACAGAGCAGAAAATATCAGAGGATGGTGGGTGTAGCCCCATTCAAGTCAATGGAGCTATACTGATTTACACTGGCTTGGAATCTGACCCATGCTTTTCACAGCCGTCCTGCCCATGGGAAGCTCCCCTCACCACCTCACCCACCCCAGCTTAGAAATGGCAGTGCCTATGCTTGGCTCCAAGTTGTGGCTGAGGAGAAAGGTAACGAAGCAGAGAGCAAAGCATGCTGGGATGACTCACAGAGGGCCATACCAAACTGAGAATGTCTGCTCGTATCCACCGTCATAGCCAGGCTCCCAGGAGACGTTGGCAGAGGTCATGGAGACCACGACATGCACACTACACGGGGCATGAGGGCTTGTGCCTGAAAGTAGAGAGAAACTCAGTGTAAGAGGCAAAACAGAGAGAAATATACATACACACACATAGGGCCAGTCACCAGAGCACCCAGAAGAATGGCAGCCCTTGGACTGTGGAATTTATGGTTGTTTAAAGACAACAGGAGCCTAGAGGAATGGGAGCTTCTTCTTAGGAGTGGAAGGACATTTTCCCCTGCCTCTGTGCACTCAGAGAGGACTTAAAACTTTACTTTCGGGAAGCAAGATCTGTCCCATTGGAGAATGCATCCAGATAGGTCAGTGGTGCCGACCACCTCTATCTGTACTGGTGGTCTGACAATTCAGAGAAGGGGCCCATTTTAAGCACCCGCTTCTCCCAGCAGAAAGCATTACTGGGAAACATGCAGGTGTGCTGGGCACACAAAACTACTGCACACCTAGCCTTCTCAGCAAGCAAGTCCATTAATTAGAGGAACCACAGAGGAACATACTTTAGTATCTGGGAGTTCACAGCATTAAGAAACCCTCGAGATTTAACCAAATTGTCTTCTAACTGTGCTGCGGCAGGGGAGGACACACTTGGCCAGCGAGGAGGGGAGCCCTTCAATCTGCCTCAGGACGTGGCCGTAATAAAAAGGACAGAGATTTAAAGACAGCACCACTGGAGTGTGAAATTAAAGGAAAATGTTGCTCTTCTTTTCATGAGAAGCGCCCCTGAGTAATACCTTTCAGACACACAGCTTGGCACAATCAGACAGGAAACATGAACCTCTCCTGACACAGAGAAGTGCACCCCCGCCTCCAAATTATCCAACAGCCAATCCATTTACAAGCTGAAAGCCCAGGTAATCGACTCCAGGAGCAAACAAAGGGTACATCAACACCACATATTAAGGTGTGACGGTAGCCCATCAGCCCTCAAGTCCAGGCTGCTGCAGCCTCAGTCACATTGTTACCTGCAGTAGCTAGATTAAAGCTAGCGCCGGTATGCCTACCCACGCTACAATTACACCTTCAATTGCAGTATCTATGTACCCAGCCGCTGGAGATGCAGGGCTCAGATCAATTCAGAATACAAAGGAGGGTAGGGAAGGTTGGGAGGGGAATCCAAAGACGTTTTCCCCACCCTCCATCCCCACACAGACTTACGGGCTAATGTCCTGTGAGGAGGGCACCTGAAGAGACTAGTGTGGTCTCTCTCTCTAACCTCATCCCTCCCACTCAGCACCTTTTCCCACCCCTCAGCTGCTCCTCTGTTTCCCCCCTCCATCACCAACCTCCTTTATTCCAGCTCAGTCCTTTCCTCCCAGTGATCTCTTGGTCTGCTTATCCCCTTGCACGGCCTTTGCTCTCCCACCTTCTTGACGACACCCGCTCCTTCCCTTCTATTTCCCCCTCCTCCACCCTTCCCTATTCCCCTTCAGTTATCCCCTCTTGCCGTGCTCTCCCAAGCCCCCCCGACCAGCCCTTGGCCTTCTCATACCTATGACTGTAAGGTGAGTGCTGGCAGTAATGCTTGCGACCACGTTGGTAGCGACGCACTCCCACTCCCCATGGTCGTCCTTGCTGAGGGATCGGAACTGCAGGGTGCCACCTGGAAGGGTGTTGTGCTTGCTTCTACTGGGCTTCCCTACCTTGAGCAAAGAAGAGAGAGCAAAGGGGAAGAAAAACAACAACAACTCAGAAGCACATTGCACAGCAGCAGCATGAGGTCACACTCTGGTCGCGAGGCTCTACGTGCGAGACCCACAGAATACCAGCCGGGGGTCAAGAGGCTCCAGGCTCTCCAGCACTTGGAGCTGGCTACAAAGATCGGCAGATGGCAGCACGTTTACGGATTTTCAGTTAACCATGCCAATTAAAAATGGCAGGATAATTAGACATAAGGCATGCAGAACAGAGCCGTGTTTACAACTTGGCTACGTAAGCATAAACACACAGACATACGGACACCACGGACCTCTGAGGAGATTCAACCTGGGACGTTCAGCATCCAAAGCACAAGTCTCTCTAGCACTTGAGATAAAAGAGAACTCCTTTAGCTGCAAGTAGCAGGCTATTGTAGTCTCTGGTGCCAGCCACTAGAAGGAGATATGATCACACGCACTAAGCCAGAGTTTTATGTCAGTTAGGGTGAGTGATATGGATCTTTGATTGCTCCAGTTCACACTTTCAAAACCTAAAATGAGTAACCACTTAGTGTCCACTGGAGCCTGCAAATGCACCATTAAGAACAAACCTGCCCCATTTTAAAAATGTGATCTCTACCTTTTACCTGGTTCTAAGTTTGCACACCAGAGGTCAAATTTGTCTCAGTGGCAATGGTACAAGTGAGTAGAGAATATGCCTGTATACGAATGCTTTAAATAATACTCCAATTTACTCTTAGAAAGTAAACTGTATCCACACCATAGTGTTCCTCAGTAAAGGTTCAAAAGGACACATTTCACAAACAGGGCTACCAAGGCTGGAAACATTCAGGAAGAAAAGCCTAGGTGCTCTGTTTTGTTTTAATTGGGGGGGCGGGGGGGAAGCGGGGAAGGTGACCGTCTCTTTTGATGGCTGAGATGCTGGGTTCCATAACCAGTGACATTCACACCCATAAACTGAAGTTGTACAAATCCTAAATCGCTTCAAAGTCCTCATTCCCCACAACGTGTGCATAGCTTTTCTGTGGATTTCTTGTGCATAGCTTTGTTAGGATTTACTGGCCTTCTATGCAACGTTATCTTTCAACACCTGTATATGGCTAGATTTTTTTTTTTGGTGGGGGAGCAGCGCAATCAACTGCCCTAAGTGGCTACCAGTGCTGAATCCAAGGCCTTCAGTGGCCTCACCACAGAAGCCAGGTTTGAAGTGGCCGTAGCTTTCATGAGCCTGTAGAGTGCGTGAGGGCCTTTGGTTTTATGTTTTCTGATGGAACCCAGGTAAGTCCAGACTAGTCCTAACTGAAAACACTGGAGGATGATCAGGATAATCAAGGCAGAAGAAACAGAAAACACCATGGGGCAGAAGGGAAGATGTTGAAAAGCAGGAAAAATAAAGGAAAGGATTAAAAGAAATGAAGGAGAAAGGAAATAAGATGGACAGAAAGATGCAAGTGTTCTAGAGGAGTGAGCAAATCACTTCAATTGCTCATTCTCTTACCCGCATCCACGGAGGTTTGCCCTTGGGCTACTTTATTATCTTCTGCCTCGAACCCAGAAAAATCAAGGGCAACGCCAGCTGTGCATGGTCTTCCACAGTGAGCTGGCGTACCCTTGCACTGACTGCCCCAACATAACTACTTGTTTGTCCTGTTGGGAGCCTTTCCATCTCCCGCTCTCTCCCCTAAGCTAGATATGGCGTACTTGGGAAATCCCGGCCCTGTGCATCTTGTATGCAAGGCTGGAGAGCGCCACAAAACAGCAGCAAATAAAGAAGAAAGAGCAGTAAAAGAATGGAAGGCCCTGGAAGAAGGTCCTGCAGTAGGGACAAAGGGCTAAGCAGGTCCCACTGGTTTGACTGCTTTTCTATATGGAGAATGGAGACTTGAGAGGAGGGGCACGCTGGCTAACATGCAGAGACCTGGGAAGCCCACAGCGAGTGACTACATTGGTCGCTGAGGAAGGACTATTGGTGCTACTGGAAAACAAGAAGCTTGTGTATCTGGGCAGAAGACCCCGTCCAAAGGAGGGAATTCTCCATCCCTAGCTGCCAGACTGTACAGAAGAAAGTGGGAAAAAGCTCCCCCTCAGGCCAAAATCCACCGGGCTATAATAGCCGTTGTCATAGAGCTACCCTATGACATGCCAGTTCAAGGGCCTGGAATTAGAGCAGGATCTCAGGATGCCATTATCATGCCAATGCAGGCTGCATCACAGGGGCACTTGGGGACACAACTGAGACAAAAGTAAAAATATTTCTTTCCATTCCAATTCTGTGTGCCCTCCGGAGGTGTTAAAGTAAAAGGCTGGTTCTTTACCATGAAGAACCCATGTGTGGGCAAATGCCCCAGGCTGCAGAATATACATTCCAAGAGGAGACCAAAGCAGCTGCGGGACTGCACTAAAAAAGCCTGGTAGCTTCCACCGAGAGGGGGATACTTCCAAAAGTGCAGCCGCGGACCATCACGGGGAACCCCTGCCCTACCATTGCCAACGCTTCACCTGCTGATGCAGTCAACACTGCATCGTCCCAATCTAGCACCCCAGGAGGGTTATTCTGTCCTGCAGGTGGCGACCCTGGCAGAAAGGGTGGGGAAGCATCGGTGGGTGTTCCTGAAGTTGATAGCAGTGTGGAGCAGCCAGAGGAAGAGGGGGCGGGGGCCCTGCTCAGCTTTGCAGATGCTGCTGTGAAGGTTTCATGGTATTAAACACTTGGTTGTCAGGAGCTGGGTTTCCCCCACCCACCTGCGGGACAGGACGGCAGTGGTGCAGCCCGAAGCGAAGCAGCTGTACCTGCAGTTTGTTCTTACCGGGACAGAGAGTGTGGCTTCTCTGTCTGCAATATTCATCAAAAGCCAAAGGCACTGCAGATTTGTCTGGCAGGCCGGGTACCTTTCTCCAGGCGATGACAGGAAAGGGGTCTCCCGCAGCAGCACAAGGGATCAACAGCTCCCTCCCTGCCTCTTGTCTGTACTCCCAGCCTGGTAGCACCGTGAAATAGGGTGGGTCCTGCAGCCAAGGGAAAACTCAAGTAACTGTCACCAGACAATTGGCACGTGTACACACACACACACACACACACACACACTCCTTGAAGATCTACTCACAAATCAAGTTAAGAACTAATGGGTTCTCATCAGGGCAGAAGGATTTAAATCACCTGGTTTGTTTGTTTGTTTTTTTAATTCATTGATTTTAAATCAGGTTGGGGCTTTGTAAAATGAATTGAAAAGGTGGGCTGCAGCAATTTAAGCTTATAGCAAGTTATAAATGCTGGGAAAATTTCTAGAGGACCACTCTGCCCGGGTGTCATCTCTGAATTGTACATAACTAAATGTGGGGGAGAGAGGGGAGGACCAAAAATATTGGAAATTAAGGCCCTGAATTTGCAAACACTTCAGCAGCTATGTAAGTAACTTTTTCTTTATGTTGAAAGCTGTAACAGGTTTACAAATCATTGCCATGTAAACATCAAAATAAAACGTTAACCATTACAACACTCAGCTTGTCTTTTTGTTAAAAAAAGATGATGCAGGAACTTTCCTCACAAGAACAGTCTTGTGGACTTCATTGGGAGTACTAATGGACTTCAAGTTAAGCATGCGCTTAAGTGTTTGCAGCATCGAGAGCTAAAATTGTTTTTTTTTTTATAAAATCTTTTAGCGGCAAAAATCTTTGCTTCAGTGGTAACGTATTTTGACTCAATACGTTAACAAAGTTCTTGTGATTTAAAAAAAAACCACAAACCAATTTTTTTCAAAAATAGGAGCCTACGCCCATATTTATGCACCTAAATGTGGGATTTTCAAAAGCATCTAAGTGATTTGGAAGCACAAGTCCCATTGGCTTTAAACTATAAACCCTGATGAAGATGTATAACCCACTTCAAAACACTCCAGCTTTCTTAACTTGCAAAAGTTCAATATATAGGAAGGTAGTGTTGGTCACAAATCTAACACAGGCTATTTGCTAATCAATTTTGCTTTTGAGCTTGTGTTTTTCCACACAGTGTGACCATTACTGAGGGCCCGCACTTACTTCTTTCAGCACACATGAGCACGTGAAGTATGAAACTTCCTCGTTGAAAAAAGGCTATGTAAAAATCTGAAACTTCTCCTAACTATTTGAAAGCTAGCTAAAGAAACAAGTACAAGCCATCCATTGCAGCAATTAAAGACTGTACAATGGAAAGAACTAGTGACGTGTACTTTTAAAAAAAAATCATTTCAATATAAAAAATTCATTTTTTTTAAAATCATAATTTTTATCCATCCTGATTTTTATCAAATACATGCACGTGCTCCAATCCCCAGCACTGCCCCCAGAGAACTTTTCTTTGGCATGATAATGCCATCATTAAAGAAACTACTGAAAGTTTTCTGATAGCAAGGAATCAAATGGGTATGTTACCTTCAGTACCAGTCGGGCAGCAGGGGACTGGCCCATCGTACCCAGGGCGTTATAAGGCACACAGGTATAAGTGCCGAGAGCTTCCTCTGTTACCTCCTCTATTCGGATTGACCCGTCTTCCAGCAGGTTCCAGCCAGAATACTGGAAGGCCAAGAGAGATGGGAGTTACCACAAGACCAAGAGTAGTTATCGCTTATTCATGGTCCCAAAATATCCCCTGAACATGGTCTTCAATGCTTCTGCGAGATGTCCAAATCTTAATCCATTCTCAAGTTTATTTGTAGTAACGAGTCACTGTAATTTCTGGGCTGGAGATCCTGTGTATTGTCTGAGACCCTTTATTCCCTTTTCTGCTCTCACCTTGCAACACCTTCAAATACAGCACAGCTGCTAATGACAGCTCCATATCACAGATGGGATCCCCTTTGCAGGCCAGACAAATGGGACTTTCATGGTCAGGAGTTAGAACCTCTGTTCCTTGGTTGCAGAGTTTCTAACTCCATAAACTCCAAAACTTTTCAACTCCTTGAATCTCTCTAGATTATGAAAAACCCAAGATGTCAACCAGATAATTAGAATAGTTTCTTCTGGCCCATTCAGACTAGATTAGTATAATAGTCTCCCTTCTAGGCTTCAAAAAAAAAAATCTATGAATCAACACATTCCTTCTCGAGTCAGCCACAAAGCAAGGCTACTCCAAGCATAAAAAACACCTTTAGGAGCAATGGAACGTCCACATGGTGCACACTGTTCTTCAAAGCATTCCAGAGCTCCTTACCCTCTATAGCTTCCTACCTCCACGAAGCAGAGGCAAAAATGGTCTCATTAAGAGGTTCAATTTTATTTGTAGTGTGACATCCTCTCTTCAGAGATGGAGAACACCTGTACTGTATCAGGCCCACCAAGGCCATCATCCCAGGCATCAAGGCGGGATTGCTGTCTAATTCGCTGGTGAATAGGTTTTATCCAATCTAGTTTCTATTGTTCCAAGCAATAAAAGTGTCAGCACTTCTTCCGGGAAGAGTACTCCAAACCCTACCCAATCTTGATCTCAGGAAGTTACTTCCTCCTGATGTTCAGCTTGAGTTTTCTTTTGCTCAATTTCATGCCATTACTCCCGGTCCTTCCTCCTCGACCACCCTAAACAACATTGCTGCCATTTCAAGATTTGTACCGCATCACGAAGCCCACTCAAGACGTCATTTGAACAAATTCTTTTCATTCTTCATGTTGCTGCTGCTGCTGCTCTGAAATTTGTCCAACACTCCACAAAATGCTGATTCAGCTCCTCAGCAGTGGGGAGAGACACAGAGTTTGAACTTAACGTGACAGCTGCTGAAACCAATTTCGTCAACCATGCTGCAGCCAAAAGCAGATGTGTTTTTTACTAAACTAACATTTCTCTGGAATATAACCAGGTTTACGCCAGGTGCTTGGTGTCAAGTGGCATTGAAATGGTTAATCCCATCATTTTGCTTTTGCCTATTTGCTGTGTACAGGCTATGGCTGAGATTTTGATACACACCTTCCATTATGTTTAAGGTAAAGTATCTAAATCCCCCCAAAATACTTTGAAAAAAATCTCCTGAAGTAACATAGCATCTCAAGTGTTTTACAAACATGAGATATCTGAAACAACGGTTTTAAAAGGAAAACAAAGTGGCAATGTCCCTACCTCCAGGAATTTACAACCTAAAGAGACACTTAGAATCACACACAGAACAAGGGTTACTTTTGTTGTGATTTCATCCACAGGGAAGAGTCTCTTCTGAACATAGTGGGTTTTAAATACAGCTTTAAAAATGTTTGTAATCATTTTGAGACTACCAGCTGTGATGGCTAGTTATAATGGATCTATCTGAATGGTATAAATCTATTGCTATAGGGAAAGTTGTTGGCACAGGGCCCTGGTAATGGGGTATGGAATACTTAGCCGGGGGCACTAATTCAAATACACTACCCAGATCAATAGTGTTCAGAAGTCATTACTATCAGCAGATGAATTGGTGGGGGTCCCAGTCCATTCTCTTTTGTATCCCCATTAGAAAAAAGTCATCAGCACAACTTGGCCTGTTTTATTCTCCTTGGAGAGGTCAAGGACTCAATGCGCCAGAGAAACTGAACTCCTCTCTGAAACCTAGCAGTGGACCCAACAGGGCAGGGTTGAGGCAATATGGGGGGTGGGTACTGGCACGGGCAGCTCCTGTGCTGTGGACAATGGATGCCTGTCTCCAGGGCTACTGATCCAGCACTTCCCACCACCCCTTTTTTCTGGTCTTGAAATGCATCCAGTGCCCAGGTTAAAGGGGACAAGGAGGGTGAAAAGTTATCATAGGACTGGAAGGGACCTCGAGAGGTCATCTAGTCCAGTCCCCTGCACTCATGGCAGGACAAAGTATGAGCTAGATATGGTCTAGATAACTCAGACAAAGAAATTGGAAGGAGACCTTTCCCCAAAGAATAAATGGGGCAAAAGTTTATATTCACAACTGGAACTTCTGAATTTCCTCCAGCTGACAGCAGCCATCTTATCGAAATCACATCTGAGATACCCATGCCATGGGTGGCTGATACCGGAGATGACAGGCCATGTTCTAGATCCGCTACGATCCCTGGTTTGAACAGTCAGAACAAAAACTTTAAACCCTTTAATATTTAAACAAAACTTTAAATATTGAATGTTTAGTTTAAATATTAAAGGCCTGAAGTCCTTGCTCAGATCATTATACCAGGAGCATAGCAGGATGGAGACTCTTTAAACGGGCTTTTAACATCAGCCTCCCATAAAACCCTGAGTCACCAAAGTGGTCACTTTAACAGCAATGCTGGCATTAGGTTCGTGAGGTTTAGATACTGCACCAACAGGAGCCATATGAGAACCTAGGCCGAAGACTCCATGGTATGACAAGTTTAACTGGCACATGAAGTCCAGGGTTCCCCCTTCCCGCCTTCCTCCTGGTGGGAAAGGTGGATTTACAAAGAGCTGCCCCAAGCCTGTCAATATTGGCAAAAGAAAGCAGGGGGTGGCTATAAACACCCACAGGGGGTGAGTGAGACGGAGGAAGATTACCCATCCCCGCATCCACAGGAGGGCATACTTTTTCAGTGGAAGAGGGTTACTGCGAGAAAGAACCAAACGATTAAGTCAAATTCACATGCCTTCTAGAAAGCCAGACACAAGTTCCTTTCCCCTACTTCTTTCCTTCATTCTGCTTCTCTTTCTCCAGCTTGCTGGGGTTTCTTCAAGTAAAAAACACTTTGTAATTGTTAAAAAGAGTTTTCCTCTGCAGCCTTTGAGACAGACCACACCTCTTCCCTCCCCGTCTCAACTCAGCATTTCTTCCCTCTCTCTGGCCAAGTTTATTCCCACCCTCACTTCTCCCTCCTACACTACACTACACCCAGTCTTCTAGGGATGGAGGCTCTAGGAAATATGGGCCCTGATCATCCTCCAGGTGAAGAAGGCCAAGTGGCAGAATGACTCTGTGGGCATCACCCTGTACGTGTCAGAGAGTTGAGAGCCCTGGCACTCAGCACAAATGGCAGAGTTCTCCTTCAGGTCCTCTGTTAAAAATATCATGTGTCTGCCTTTTGCAGTGCATAGCACTGAGATTTGTTCTGGGGCAGGATGCTGGCACCTTCTGTTTAACTGAGAAGGGAATACAACAGTGGGAGGAGGTTGGGACATCTACAAAGAAGTGGGCTCTGGGAGGTGCTAAATACCAGCAGCTCAGGGCTCAATCCTGAAAGGTGCTGAGCATTGTGGCCCCAATCCAGCAAAGCACTTGAGCACCTGCTTACCTTTAAGCCCCATGGAGCAGCCCAGTGAAGCAGGTTCTTAAGAGCTTTTCTGGATTGAGCCCTTCATACCCAGCTTGATTTTTAAAATAACCACGAACAAGGGGAATAGGCAATCTGGGCATTTCCAACTCAACAGAAAGTTTTCCACCGCAGGAATCCATAACATTAAGGACTCACAAAGGGTCGCTCTACACTTCAAAAAAAATACCTGCAAAGGCAGCAAATCCCAGAGCCTGGGTTCAATCAGTTGGGCTCACCTACAGGGCTAAAAATAGCCGTGTAGATGCTCCCGCTCAGGCTGGAACTCAGGCTCCAAGACCTCACCCGCCTCCACACGTTACAGAGCTGCAGGCCAAGGGAAAATGTCAACACTGCTATTTTTAGCTCCATAGCACAGCCCTGCAAACCTGAGCCAGCTGACCCAGGCCCCGAGACTCGCTGCCATGGGTTTTGGTTTGGGGTTTTTTTTGCAACACAGTCGTACTCTAAGCACGTTTGTATGACGGTCCCTATCTCCGGGCCACGAAAGAACAGGCAGCTCCTCCCACAAGCAGACTTCCACTGCCACATGCTTTTGGCACCTTGGCCCCTGATCCCAACAACATCCCCACCTGACTGGCCCACTCTGAACCAGGTGCCACAACCTCTCCCACTGGGTCCCTGTGGTGCCCTGGCCTGACCAGCTCCCTGTCGGCCAACCAACCACCGCACAGAGCTTGGAGAAGGGGAACAAGGTTGAAGGCCAGCCCAGGTTGTGTCCCCCTCAGTCCTCCCTAGTTCCCCTGGCGCTTTCCTCCTTCCAGTGCTCTCTCAGCATGGGGAGCCTGCTGCTGCCACGGGCAGCCCTCAAAGCCCCCTACAGAGGCAGGTGGAAGAAGCCGTCTCTGGTCTCCTGCCCCTGCAGCACAGCAGAGGCAACCGTGGCAGCAGCTTGGGGGAGGAGGAAGGGAAAGGAGAAGGAGAGAGAGAATGGCTGACCCCACGTATGCGTGAGGTGCGGGGGTAGTGAAGGGTACGAGGGAGTATTTCATGGGCTGACAGGCTGTTATAATTTTGCCTGTCCTCAGGCGGACCGGTCAAGTTGGTAAGCAGAGACCGAACTGGGGACTTATCTCCCCTGCTACGATGGCTGAGCCTTCCCGCACAGCTCCCAGTGACATGCCTGCCTGCCCCATCGACTCCAGACCAATGGCGGCATGCAGCCAGACCCTTCCCCGTCGCGCCCTGTGGCGTCACCATTTGATGCGTCCCCCATTTCTCCTTCCACAATAGCCCCGTTTGTCTTCGCCCAGACACAACTTTACCTTTTCGACTCGCAGGGGGCGTCCGTCTTTGTTCCACTTGACGAAGGTGACCGGCGGTTCCGCCTCCACCGGACAGCGGATGTAGCCGTGTATCCCAATGGGAACATACAGGATGGGTGGCATGTTCACCACACGGGCGGGATCTGGGTGGAGGAGTAGGAAGTTATTTTGAATAATCTTGCCCTTCGTTTCCCGCCTAACCGCTGCTCACGAGCCGCATGCAGCTCTTTTACAGTTCAAGTGAAGCTCGCAGAGCCCCCCATTCTCCGCCTACCAGACTTGGGGGTGGGAAGGAGCACAGGGCTTCTGCCCTCCAACAGGGTGGTGGGCCTAGGGGCTTCTGCCAGAGAGGACTAGTGCCTGCTGGGGGGTAGGGCACACAATGTAAAGGTTCGGCCCACCCCAGTGGCTTGAGTCACTTACCCTTAGCAGCCCCTCCTTGCAACTCCCTGGTGTTCACTCCCCATGGAGAGGCAGCAGCAAACAGCTGGGAGAGGCTGCTGCTTTAGCTCTGCAGGGAGACGGAGCAGCTCTCCCTGCAGCTCCCAGCTGTCGGCCACTGCTTCTCCCCATGGCCGCAGCTCCCAGCGGCTGACATGCAGGGAGGGGACCCAGCGGCACCATGTAACCAAGCAGGGCCAGCAAACCGCAGCAAAAATCTGTAGCGGCATTCCTTCCTTCCCCCGCACATCATCTCTGGCTTCTGCCCAGCAGAGAGGGAGGTGCACAGGGTGCACCTCCCGCAGGGCTGCAACCCCAAGCCTCAGCAGGCACACCCCAGTTCTCGAACTATTGAAGACTGTCGTATGCGGCTCAGAGGATCAGTAATTTTGGGCACCCCACTATATGCTCGTCACTGTACCTTGGTTTGGAAGGGTCAAGGTCATTGTTATGAGTTCCAAGCCTAAATGCTAACTCTGCAGCATCCATTACCCTCTGGCCCTGGAAGACCATTATCCTTATAGTTCCATTATCCTCTCCGAATCCATTAAAAATATTTAGAATTTCTATTAAGCTTTACCTACTCAAAGCATTTCACTTCGACCTCCCTACCTGAAGCTGCAGGCCCATGTACAATTATCGTTAAAAAAAAAAAAATATACGTGCAACATAATTACAAGTGTCCTCACGGCACCATTACAACACTCCCTCTCCTGCAAAACCTAAGCTCCTTCTCACTCAACCTCAACCCCTCAGGCTCTGCAACTCAGTACACTGTTGGATCGAGGAAGCGGAGCAAGCCCTAGCATCAAGGGTACTCCCCAGAGAACACAAGGAGGTAAACACACACAGAGCACAGTAGCAGCATGGGTAATCCAGCTAGAGGTGGCATGCAAAGGAAACACCACAAAACAAAGACAATCCTGGGTTATGCCCTGTTTTGCTTCTGCATGTCAAATCACAGCAACAATTAATTCAAAGCCAACGGCTAGCTAGTGACTCCAATATTTTAACAGAGGTGGTGAGGCAAGCTGGGAGCCACAGGTTGTCAAACCCCCGTTTCTGCCCACCATATTGAAGGGATAGGTATTTACACCATTCATTTCACAGATCCACAAAACCCATGCAACTTGGAAATAGCTCGTGAAGAAAATACACAAGGGTTGAAAGAGCGTGAACCACTGGGGAAGGAAGAGAAAAAAGGGCAACAGCCAGGAGGCCCCTATTTGAGGGAGTAAAGAGAGGGGCAAGATCGGAGAGCTCCTCAATTGAAAGCACCTGGAAGGAAAAGGCGTTCCCCTTGAAAAGGTGATATAGCCAAGGGAACAAACACAGTTTCCCAACATCAAATTACAATCCCCAGGTGCTACTTAGCTACATGCAACTCCCACCCACAGTATATGCATATGAAAAGAGGGAATATCATTTCCCCTCCCCCTCCCTTCTCCTTTTGCTGGTCTAGCAATCCAATCACTTGCTTAATTTCCAGTTCCTCCCCTGCCCCCCAAACATTACATAGAGAGGAAAAAAGTCTTAGAGGGTGTCAGTAATTTCCCAAGACAAGCACAAAGTGGTGGGACTACCCTGCCATTGTCAGGGACTGGGGGAAGGCAGGAAAGCTTCATTCTAAGATTGATGGGAACATGAACAAGTCAATGGGAAAGAATGAATCCTTGCTAGTTGGGTTTTGGGGCGGGGTTTGTTAGTTTCCTTCCTTCCCCATCTCCAGATTTGATGGCCGGCTAGAGGGGAAAAACAAAAAACGAGAGAACTGCAGAGATATTAAAGGCTGGAAACTGAATTATTAAAATCCATACAAGAATCTTACATTATTGCTTTTTGGCTGTGTCCTGGGGCCATTCGGTACTGATATTTGCAGGAATCTGGGTGCACATATGTGAAGCAGGGGAACATGGGGCTGCTGAAGGTGTTTTTATTCCACAGGCTCACTATCTGACATTTTTAAATCCAATCACTCCCTCCAAACTGCTAATATCCAGCCAGGAGTTACCAAGGTCACGTGACTGTGGTAGCAGCATGGTAACCCAGATTAGAAAGTAGTTCATCATATGCAACTTGCTTTATTTCCACCTAGTTTAACATCATGTCTTAGGAAATGTAATCAACAAGACTGGACAGCTCCAGGGATCAGTAGTGGCCTACAGAGCCTTTCACTTCCAGGTCACTGGCTGAAATCCAGCCAGGTTCAGTAACAACCAAAAGCTGTTCCCATCGAACAGCTGCAACAGTGGCTTGTGTGAAACAAGTCAGTGGTTTCAGTCCAGAGTCTAACAGAGAAGTGACCACCAGGATAATTGCCCACCCACGCCTCTTGTTGAGGAATCTTGGCAGAGAGGCTAAGGACTTAATGGGCCCTGGAGACCAAATTCCCCACCTACTCTCCCCGCCAATCTTAAAGTTGATCCTTCCAGATGAGAGATGAAGCTCCCTGACTGAACAGCGTATGGGAAGTTTGTGCTGACACTGCTCCAGAACTGCTAGGTAAGGAGGGAGAAAGGATTGCATTCTCCAAGGCCACCGATCTGGCACCTTTCACCAGCGCTAAATTTACTTCCAAAAAATAGTTCTCTTTCAGTGGAAGAAAGTTGACCCATGTGAAAATGAGGCGCTCTAGCTCACAGAGCATTAGCAAAGATCCCAGAACAAGGATAAAAGCACAGGTGTTTATTCCAACCAAGGAACTGGATTATTGTGAAGGGACGCCAAGCAGGCCTTGGAGCTTTAAATGACAAGGTATAAAAAGCCCTCTCCGCATCTCCAGGACCCAGGCGAAAGAAAAAAGGTGTGCAAACCCCACCTTTGTATGCCTGCTCTCCAGGGCGGCTTCTGATGGTTATGAGCCTTGCAGTGAGGTTTGGATCAGTGGCAGGACAAATTTGATGGTGTGAAGCAGTATACCTTCCCAAAAGCTGAGGTCCACCCAGATGCCTCTGTAAGCAGTCCCTAAACTTGCATCCTTTTGAACAGGGCATTTCCTGGGGACAGTTCCCTGGCTCTGGACTTTGCTTCTCTGTGATTTCATACAAGAGAAGGAACTGGCTTCTTAGGTCTCTCAGCTCCTTAATGCACGTTTACTAATTATCAATCCATAGCCTGAGTCTATTGGCCTTCAAGAGAAAGCCTAAGGCCCATTGGTTTGTTCAGACTTTTGCCTCCCCTTATAAAATCAAATGCTATAGTCTTTTATAGAAACAGGCCAAATCAACTCAAAAGAACCTAGCTCTTCTACAGCACTTTTCATCAGTGCATCTGAAAACAGTTCACACAAGAGGTCAGTATCACTCGCCCCATTTTACTAACGGGGAAACTGAGGTATAGAGTGGAGAACTGACTTGCCCAAGATCACCGAGCATGCCAGGGCCAAACTGGGAATAGCATGCAGGTCTCCTGAGTACCAGGCCAGTGCTTCATCCACTAGGCCACACTGCCTCCAGCATCACTCTTGTAAGCAACAGTCATTTGGACCCTTACCACAGAAAGCTGTAGGAGGGGAGGCATGCTAAATGTGAAGACATTGGGAATAACATTCCTTTCAGAGTCCATCTCTCTTCAATTTATTTAGATCAGTTACTGCTTTGTATTTAATGTTTTCAGGATGCCAACACACCCGGAAGACAAGGCAGCATTAACAGGTTTTTATAATTATGCATAAAAATATAAGCGTGCGCACACACACACACAGTCACGGCCCTACTTCCCACACAGAACAAGACGGAATACAACTGATAATCAAGACACACTATTATTAGCGTTCACAGCCATCAGCAGCCTAGTCCGATATTCTGGCTGGCATTCAAAAGGCTGGAGAGTTTGGAACCAATAGTAATCTTTGCACCCAGACACATTAAAAAGGAGCACAATCCCATCTATCAGTCTTAGGCATTTCAGTAAGGCCCATCACCATCATATCTGACCCCAGTGAATTAGATCTACACAGCATTGCCCAGGACAGACATTCGCAGTGGTTCTACACACTCTCTCTCTCCCCGCCCACAGATAGCAACATCCCAGACCACAGCTAGCCTGTACAAGGTGCAATCATTTATGCCAGCACAGAGTGGGTGCAATCTCTAACTTCCTGATCGAATACTATTTTACCCGCACTTTGCAGTGCGGTAAGTGCCGGGACAAGAGGCAGGGCTGTGGTGAATCCGGGTCCAAGGACCCTGCATGGAAGGTTTGGGGTATTTTTTATGTGAGTGTATGCTAGCATTTCCTTACCTTTGGTTAGGGTGCGAAAACTTTGGAATAAAGACGGGTCAAATGTTATGCTTCAGGGCGGGCAGGGACAGGGTGTTTTGAAAACGTCTTCCACATTGTGGATGCTAACAGGCGATGGGCACCTAGGCAAGGAAAGAATCCTACCCACCCTGCATGGCATCAAGCTGTTAGCTGGGAGCAGGGTATTCATCTTCCTCTGAAATATCAGCTACTGACAGCATACTGTACTTGATGCATCAACTGTCTGATTCATTATGGCAAATGCCAGGTACCATTGCATTAAACAAAGTAATGAACCCACACACTACACCAGCCAGCCTAGTCTCATCAGACCCAATAATCTAGTGAGATTTTATTCCCCTCCACCTCACTCCATATGTTGCTGTCACGTCACAGTAACCCTAAAGGTTACACTGGGCCTCTAGGCAGGATTGGGACAATGACATGATCGAAGCCATCTTCTTCCCATGGCAGGTATGGTCCTTAGATCCTGCAGGCCTCCCTGCCCCACCATCTCCACTCACACTGCACTGTCAGGTAGGCGGAGGCCGATGGTGAGCGGCCAAGGCTGTTGCTAGGAATGCAAGTGTATTTCCCAGCATCGTCTGGTTTGACACGGAAGATGATCAGCGTCCCATCAATCAGGATCCGGACCCTCAGTTTCAGGTCACTGCAGGGGGTGAGAGAACAGAAGGGAAAAGATGGGTAAAAGGGCGGGGAGAGAACTGGAATGAGGAGTCAGCACAGAGTTTCCCCTCTTCCAGGGAAGGGAGCGGCTCTCCGAGCTGGCCGCAGGGAGCTGTCAGGGCAACCCCAAGGGCAGCAGAGCTGCCTGGATGGGTGCACTAACCCAGGGTGGGGGCCAGAGGCGCAGTGCTGGGAGAGTATCCCGATTCCCTGTGGGACTGAGGGGATCTCTGGAACAGCAGACCCCTTCCTTTACTGAGAGACAGAGAGAACGGCTCTGCGACGAGAGGTGCTCCTCCCAGCATGGACCATGGGGCCGAGAGCCGAGCTTACTTCTTGAAGTAGACGTTCTCCTCCTCCCAGTACCAGGTGTAGGTCATGTTCCCTGGATATGCCTCGGCCTGGCAGGTGAACAGGGCATCCTGGGAGATGTTGACGGTGATGTTCTCTGGAGGGGAAACGATGAACGGGGGTCCTGAGGAAGAGCACGAGAAAACCAGTTACCTCAGCCGCCGAAAAGCTCCGGCCATAAACAGCCTCTCAGGGAAGAGGGAGCATCTCTTCCCCCTAGCACACAAGGTCCAGACACCTGTAAGCATCTCCATGCATTCAGTTGGCCTGGCTCCCACAAGACTGGCCTTCAACCCAGAGCCTCTACCAAAACACAACTAGCTCTTCGCACTGGGGCAATTCTGATAAGCCAAGGCCCTCTGGGAGAGAGGGATTAATGGGTGCCCAGCACTACCCTAGCAGAGGGCTCTGTCCGTTTAAGGCACACAGGGAGTGCTGTAAGAGGATCATGCAGGCGCAGCAAAAAGGGGAGTAGTGGGGACCAGAACAGGGTTAGACTCCAGAGCAGCATAAGCGCCGACCTTGGTCTAGATGGGAAGACAGAGCTTCCAGCTAGCTAGTCTCCAGCGTCCTTCCCTCAAACTCCCCCCCGCAAAGGGCAGTTTTAATCAGTCCCACAGGGAGAGCTCAGTGCATGAAACAGATGCTCAATATTCAGTCTCTAAGATCCCCCTCGGCAGGGGAGAGGGGAAGGAATGGAAGAAAGGAGAGGGGATGGGGGAGGGCAGCAGGGAATACAGTCTGCTTAACAAAGCACCCTCTGCCAATGTCATCCAGGCTGGCACCCATCCTGCTGCTGTCACCAGGCCAACCACACTAACACAACACCCTCCGTTAACCTCTCCATTCACTGAGCTCACCCCGGAGCTGTCTCCTCTCCTTCACCCTCTTTCCAGGAATCAGCACAGTGGTTTTTAACACCATCTGTGGTGAGAGACGGTTACTCAGTAGTGAGGTCCAGGAATCAGGGCTCCTGGGTTTTATTCGCAGCTATGGTAGCATGTGCTCTTTAGAGGTTAAAGCAAGGAAGACTGGGAGTCAAGTTTCCTAGGTTCATTTCCAGCTTTGCCACTGGCTTCCTAGTTGACCTTGGGCAAGTCACTTCATCTCAGATTCCTTCCTCCACTCCGTCTATGCTGGAAGGAAACAAAACAACCAGATACACAAACTTGTCCCTGTCTATGGCAGCTAACATTTCCTAACAGGAGGCATTTGCCCAGCGTCGACATGGCCCATGGGTAAAACAACAGGAGGGCAGGAGCAACCTGCCAGGAATGCTATGTGGATTAAGAAGAAAGAAGAAAAGGAGGACTTGTGGCACCTTAGAGACTAACCAATTTATTTGAGCATAAGCTTTCGGAAGCTACAGCTCACTTCATCGGATGCATCCGATGAAGTGAGCTGTAGCTCACGAAAGCTTATGCTCAAATAAATTGGTTAGTCTCCAAGGTGCCACAAGTCCTCCTTTTCTTTTTGCGAATACAGACTAACACGGCTGTTACTCTGAAACCTATGTGGATTAGTCAGTTAATGTCTGCAAAGTGCTTTGACATGGGAAAGAGCGTAAAAGTGCAGAGCACTATTAAGTGCTTCAATAGGTGTGAAATGCTAAGCTCCCTTATCTTGCGGCAGAAATTGACCAAGTAAAAGATTTATAGAGGGAGAGGAAGCAGGGCTGCAAGGAAGACGAGACCCAGTAGGTGTCATCTTTATTCTGTACAGCATTTTCTGGTGTTTTGCAAGTCTTCCCACACTTCTTAAAAAAATCATCAGAGCCTCTCTGTTAATCGGAACAGCCGCTTAATCCAAGAGACAGGCCATTCCCTGGGGTGCCCCAATTAAGCGGATTTTGCTTTAGTATACATGGGATGCAGAACCATTAGGTGCTAACACAGCAGATGTATGTCCTGAATTCTCACACATGCGTACAGTCTGAAAGGGGCTCTGGGCTCCTCTGGGGTGACAGCCCGACACTGTTTATTAATAAAAAGGGGTATAGACCCATCAGAGAAGGGATGACTGTGGAGTCCCACAATGCCACATCCCCACAGACAGGGATTCGCAGACTGAAACAGGGGGCTCGCAAACATTTTCATCTTGTGGATCACAGCTTAAGGGAGATTGTCTAGTGGATGTCTGAGCCATGCCTCTATGTGGGAGTGGCTCATCTCGCTCCCTGGCGATCACGTGGCATCCCTGTGGCAATTGTTTCTGGAAACCAAATATTTATGTATCTTTAGCTTCTTCTAATGCAATTTTAACAGCTGCGAATGAGAAGCCAGCACCACGTGACCAGCTGGCTCATCACAGACCCCCAGCAAATGCTCCATAGACCACACTATCAGCAGAGCTAATCCAGACAGCAGCATGAATCCACTGTCACGCTTGGAAGCCTGACTGACCTAACATAAGGCTCTGCATGTTACACAAAGGTTTAAAGGGAAAGTGGTGGGCACTGCTTGCTCCCCCATAAACGATGGGGTTTTAGATGCTTTATGGTACAATTAGAGCTATTTCACATTCCCCATCAAAAAAAATAACTCCCCCCTTTAAATAAAGCCAAATCACAGATGAAGAGCTGCAGGTGTGTCATGCAACGTCTGGACAAGTTGCCACCAAAACGAATATTTGTGGGAGAGTCCTGACTTGGACACCATCAAACCTGGTAGAATCAGTTTTGGATCATGCTGACTACGCTTCTTAGGACATTTCTTTCCTCATCTCCTCCTCCACCACATTACATTTCTCAGCCATAGGCCTGAAAGCAGTTTAGAAAATCAGGCAAGTATCGTTATCCCCATTTCTAAGCAGGGAAACTGAGGCACAGGGAGGGGCTGTGACCTTCCCAAGATCACACAGGGTGTCAGTGAAAGAACCAGAAGCACAGTCTCCTGGTGCTCAGCCTGGCACCTTATCCACTTCAACACACCACCTCCCAAAAGGGTTTGGGGCAGATGCAGTATCGTGCTCTGCCACAGAACCGCCCTCTCTAAGCACAGTATAGTTCAGAGGACGTCTGCTGAGCAAAGGGAGGGAAGACATGGGTATATGCAACCTCAGACAATCAGCATGAGACATGTCCCTCGAGGCCCAGGACAGGTCCTGCTGCCGCTTTTCTCCTGCGTATATTGTAGGATGGTGCGACAGCCCTCAGGTCGCATTCCTTGCTTTGGTCAGTAGAGCTGGCAGCCTGTAATGTTATTTAAACATCTGGGGTTTGGGCTTCATTTCCTAGTTTATTTATTGATGGCATTTTTAATGGACAGTTGGGAGGAGGCCACGTCTCTCTTGCAAGAGGCTGCATGGGTCGGACAACGGGCCAAGTCAGTCCCTACACCAGAGCTGCATACTCCCCTCACAGCCCTTGAGCGGAAGATGCTACATACACTACTCCCTGAGTGCACCAGGCTGGATGACACATGCCTTATTTTATACAGGCCTAGACAACAGAGAAGGGGCTATCATTTATCAGGTGTATGTACCAAACCTAGCGCAACGAGGCCCAAGCTGTCTGAGGAATACAAGTGCTTAATAATATAGTGGATTGCATAGGATGATGGATGATCAATAATAATAATACCTAAGCTCTTATATAGCACTTTTCCCCAGTAGAGCTCAAAACATTTGGCATTTCCATGGAGTTTTAAGCTTCGGATCTCTAAGCGCTTTACAAACATTAAGCTTCACAACCCCAGTGAGAGGTAAAAACTCCCCGTTTCATAGACAGCGAAGCTGAGAGAGAGCACGACTCGCACTTGTGAGTGAGTCAGCAACAGAACCTGGACTAAAACCCAGAAGTCCTGACTCCCAATCCCCTGCTCTAACCACTAGCTCATGCTGCTGTACATTGGATCACGTGGAATACCCCTAAAAGACTGATGCAAAGCCAAGAACAAAGCCCTGCTTTCCTGCTGGCTGCTATAGTCCTCTTCAGCCTCGAGGGGGGAAGAAGAAAAAAAAAAAAAAAGTGTCGCGTGCTGCCACCAGAATCTCTCTCTGTATCAGCAACAGGCAGCTGAACGCGATCATTTCCCCCCACCGCATATACGAGCAATGCTGATGGATGGGCTTTCCCTGGCAGCATATGACTGGCTGGTTTAAACTCCCATTATTCCTGCAGCCAGTCAGTAACCGACAAGGCTCTCCAGTGCCAATTCTAAGGGCTCTCCATTCTCTGCCCAGCTGTCTGGAGACGCCCTCATTGCAAAGCTAAGCATGGTTGTAGCACGGCGCTGGGAATCCCACAAGGAGCTTCCCATGAGAGGAATTACCTTGTACGAGCAGGCGAGTGGTGTGCACAGCCTCCCCTTGGATGCTGTAAGCCCGGCAGGTGTACGCGCCTCTGTCTTCCCGACTGACGGACACGACAGTCAGACTCCCATCGCTCACCTGGACCAAGAACAAGGGAGACACGTCAGCACACATGAGCACTCATGCTAAAGCCCACTCACAGCATCCACCTCATACCCCCATCCTAGAGCCTCAACGGTGCGCTAATCCACATGGTCACCCACGCCCCTGCACACACTCACTGTTGGCTGTTCAGAATTCTCTCTCTTGAATTTCCCTGCCTTCAGCAATGCACAGGTGAGGAGAGGTTGCAGGAGGCCAGGACTGAGTAAGGTCTGGGCTAAGGTCCATTGATAGATCAGTATGGGGGGACCAAAGCTATCTGCATGGCAGGCTCCCCTCTCCCTAGGCCATTAGAAGAGCTGATCTCACTATTGCCTTGCACATGTTCAGAGCAGGTTTTCTGACCCCATGGCACTGAGTCCTTCCCATCTGCCAAGCCAACGTCATGCTGTCGCAGCGATGAGTTAGAGGCCTGCGCTGAAGTGGTGCCCCTGGCTGAGGACATCGTCAGCTCGAACGCTTCCGTCGGCCTTTCCATCCGGATACCCGGAAAGCACTTCACAAAGGGGGCCTACTCATTACCCCCGTGGCACTGCTAGGGAAACTGAGGCCCAGTGACTTGCTCAAGGTCACACAGTGATGCAGACCGAACTGGGAACACGGCCTGACTCCCAGCCCCCTTCCCTAACCAGGGGGCCATACTGTCTCCCAGGAAGGCTGGCCTCTCATTCATTCCCAGAAGTGATCTCCTTAAGGCAAGGCTTAAGGATTGGCAGGATTGCATTGGCAGGGCGGAACTGAGGAAAAGCCTGCCTAGTCCTGCCCCCCTGGATTAACAGGACATCTGTCTCCAGGGCCATCAACGAGGTACCTTTCACTAGTCCTTAAGGGGCCAAGCTCTCCGCAGGTGTAACTCCACTGACTCCATTGCAGAGAATTTGGACCAACAAGTCCATTACTTTAGCTTACAGCAACTCGAGTCCCTGTGTAGAAGAGTCACAGACTCCTTCCCTGGCAGGGCTGAGACAAAAGACCGAGACATCGTCATTCGCGGCTGCTGCTTGGCGCTCACCACCACCAACTACGTTCTCCCCGGTTTATGCAGCAGCTTCTTTCCCTGCCTTTCTTCCTCCTCCTCACCTCCCTGTCAGCAGTGGGGGCTGCTCAACCCCTGCAGCGATCCACGTCCATTACCACTGGCAGGTGAGAGATTGCCTAGCGAGGAACTGCCTGCACTCAGCAGGGGAGGAGATGTGTAATGGTCATCCCCTACCATCCCCATTTCACCTTCCTCCCTCCCTTCTTCCTCTAGGCTGGCACATTAGCAGAAACCTGTCTCACAGGGGCTGTGGTGCAATTGACAGTGTTGTACAGAGCCATTATCAAACCTGCTCAATTTCCCCATCATCTGCTTAGCCTGGCTGGGCTCCTGCCTCTGATGGCAGCAAGGGCTGGAGAGGTGGGGGAAGGGCACAGCTCCTCACTCCAGGTACTGGGCAAGCAGCAGATGAAGGATATAGCTTCTGCTATGCAGAAGGATGGGAGGGAAGCAACCCCAAGGGATCACACCCCCTGCCGCACAGCAAGAGCCTCACCCCACTGCCATCTGCCCCTCCACCCCCCCAACACTCACTCTGCCTCATCCTTCTATTTCAATTAGTAACAAATTATTCCTAATGACTCTCATTAGTGCCTGCGCTGATTCCAATGCTTGATTTGCCAATTACAGCTGTATGGAATCCCTGGCTGAGCTGAGGATCAGAGGCTTCCAAGGACACCCAGAGGATCTCTTAGGGGCTGGGACTGACACTGTTGACCCTGTTCAGTCAGGGGAACCCCAGTGCAGCAATCCTCAAGTGAATGCACCCGCCAGCACTCCCCTCCCCACAACACCCCCCCCACACACACACACACCCATCCCTCCCTAATGGAACCATTTCCAGCACTGGCAATGAGAGTAAGAAAACTCATGCAGAATCCACAGCCTATATGAGCCAGATCTGCTCCCTCTGAACCCAAGGGCTTGGCCCGTGCCTCTCTCCGTGACCGTAACACAGCAACCGTGTCCAGGGCTGGGACAGGCCGAGCAACGCCTCACAGCCTGGGTTTCAGGCAGGGGCTGTGGTGTCCACAGCTGCAGTTCAGGACAGCCCGTCCCTTCCCTTGGGGCAGGTTCGGATGGGACCTGCAGCTCCTGCCAGCAAGGCCTGTGCATCCCTACATGTAGGTAGGGACCACTCTAAGCCCAGGAAGGACAAGTCACCAAGCAGGACCAATGGGTACAGAGAGGGGACGGGATGAAGCAATGTAGTCAAGGCCACGGGGCAGGAATAGTGCCCCCAGCATGGGGCGGATGAGCAGGGGGAGGCAAGCTGAGGACTCATTGACTGTTACTCTACGTTTCCAAACACTCTGGATTTCAAACCCACATTTTACAGAGAACTGGAAGACAAAAAGGGGCGGGGAGGAGACTGAGGAAACCGAACAGATGGACGTGTGGAGATGCACAAATAGATGGCTAGATCAAGCATTTGCCTGGTCCCAGCCAGTTCCTCCAGTCCAGATAAAGTAAGGGTGAAGGGCTTGGCTCCCCTCCCTCCCATACCAGGCTGTAATTCCAGGGAGTTACTCCTGATTCACACCAGAGGAAAGCAAGTGAAGAATCAGGAGTTTCTAGTGACTGAGGGCTTTCAAAGCCGCTTCTCAGAACCTCCCGTGATCCCATCCTGGGGGAAGGAAACCTGAGCAGCTCCCACTGGCTGCATTCAGGAAGGCACCTCATCAGCAGAGAAAACCTTCTTCTCCGATAGGCACAGGAAGCTCTCTGGGGGCCTGGTACCTTCGCATGGGTTAAGTGCAGCCGGAAGGAAGATGGAATAGAACAGAGATAGGGGAGGAGGGTAGGAAAAGAAGATTGGAAAAGCAGTTGCCAGTAGGGCAACCAGGCATAGTGGGCTCCAGGCACAACCGCTGCTCCCCAACCTTCATGGCCGTGGCAGGCCGGAGGGCGGATGATCACAGCAAGGGGGCAATCTTGCTTGTTGATGCTCCCTGCAGTTCAGAAACAGGAGAAACTGAATCTTTAAAGGCAGCCAGGAAACAGGCTGAGGAGGGAGGGGGAGTGCTGAGGCAGCAGGAATAGCTCCAGAGAGACCAGCTGCTTCAACGACATCCATACCCTTCCTTAAGAAACCTTGATTGTGCCACCTTTTGTGGTCTTCTGTACACCTAGAGCCCAATCCGACCTTGAGAGCACCTCTCCTGAGAGCAGGGGCAGCTGCTCCCTCGACCCCAGGGGCTATTGTTTGATACTAGCCAGAAATCTGATTTTGTGTGTGTGTGGGGGGGGGGGGGTAGGAGCTTCCTCTGCATCAAGACTGAGACCCTGCAACTCACTACAGTGGTGACACGCCAGGCTTGCCCGCCACAGGGGTCAGGGTTAAGCATTTACAGCAGCTGACCAGGCTAAACACTTACCTGGTATTTCCCACTGGCACCTAAGAGGTCCCCTTCTCTCAGCCAGGTGACAATTGGTTTGGGGTTCCCGAAAGCCATGCAGGTCAGGGTGATACTGCTGCCCTCCTTTGCTTCTACATACTGGGGGGGCGTTTCCGTGAAGGTGGGGGGAGCTGCAGGGGAGACACGGAGAGTCAATGCTACATTCAGCAGAAAAAAACACCATCAATCCATCCTGGCTGCGTGCTACACGCAGGGCCGCAGGGGACATTCTACCTGCATGCACCCTTCCTGCAGCGGCCAACCGCCACGTACCTACCAAACACTTGGAACGAGTCATTCGACCGAAGTGGAAGAGAACAATCAGTGATACAGTTGCATGCGCTGTCTTTAGTCATTTACCCCAGGTGAAGTAAATTCAGAACAAAAGCCAAAAGCCAACCGTGAGTCGCCTGACCTCATTAAACAACAGCCACCCTTAGCAGGTCCCTAGCTCCCTCCATCACAGGGGATCAGCACAAGTCGCAAACAGCAAGGCCAACACTTAATTTTAGAAATGGCCACCGATTTCAGGGGCCTCTATTTTTAGTTAGGGCTGGTGTTCGAAGGTGCTGAAGACCTGCAGCTCCCTCCTGCTGGACGGACGGGGGGCTGGGGGGGAGGGAGAACAACCCTTCTGGGCATCACCCCAGGGGTGGGACACTGAACACCCAGAAACTGAGGCCACCCTTGAAAGCGCTGGCCTAACCGATTAACCCTCACAACCCCTCCTGTGAAGTAGACAACTGAGGCACAGCGAGGTAACGTGACCAGCTCCAGGTCCCACAGCCGTGGCTATTGCCAGAGCCCCAGCTCCCTCCTCCCACTCCAGGCGCTTCCCCATTTACAGTTCCAAGTTCCTTTCCCCCCCAATTATGCTTTAAACTTGTTATTGTCACAACACATGAAAACACTGCACTGCAGAGAGAGAGTCTCCTTCCGATTCAAGAGGCTGGCAGAATTACAGCACACCCCTAATTATCAGGCACAGTTAAATTCCACTTTCTAGGGAGACATGTTGGCAATTTAATCTATGCTGAAAAGAAGTATATGTGGTTTCCCCCAAATGATTATTTTTTCCTAAGAAAATTAAGTGAGCTAATGAGCTCCAGAAGCGCTAAAGCCCTCCCTCTAAAAGCAATTCTGCTTATACTGTACGGCTGGGCCTAGAGGATTAAGATGATAATTTCAGTTATTAAACCCTGCATGCTCAGCACTGTATAAAATACAGAGTAACACACGTTCTGTGGGACAGGGCGCATGCAGCCAACATAAGGGTATGGGGCACTCAGACGGGCTATCTTTGAGGAAAGCTTGAGGGAATAATGGCCAAAGGATCTCTCGGAAACAGACGGCAAAGGAGAGGAATGGGTCCCCTTCCAGGGCTCACCACACTTCACCCCTGAATGGGGAGGGAGAAGGTGCCATGGGAACTAGCCATACCAGGAGAAAAGAAGAATTAGCCCGTGCCATGAGAAAGGGGCAGGTATTCCTGGCAACCAGCCTCCACTCCATGCTGGGCCACCATCGGCACCTGTCACGAGGAAGAGGAAGCAGCTGCTGCGCTGACCCTGTGGCAGGTGCTTTGGGAAGGTACCGTCTATGAGCTACTCGCAGCTGAGGCCAAGTACGGGCCCCACTCAGGTGCATCCCCCGCCTGTCCCAGCACATATGGGTACACACAAAAGCCTTCAGGGAAGCACATACCACCTGCCCTGCCCCACACAGGTCTCCACAGACAGGTACACCAGCATCCAAAGACATACTCCCGCCCCAATACATACCACCTGTGTTCCACTCCCTCACCTAGCCCTCCAGTGGGGCATGGGGGCAGGGAGGGGAAGAGTCTCTAAAGCATGGGGGTGCAGAAAGTAAACCCCCTTCCCTCCGCCAAGGCTAAAACCACAACCACTGCAGGGCCCCCTACACACAGGGGAAAGGGCACCAGGCTCCACTACCCTACCATTGACACACACACTTTTCAACCTCTGCTCCGCATGGGCCCTTCCAAAGACTCTCCCGATTCTTAAGTATTGCGGGCAGGGGAGGGAGGAGACTGTTGTTTTAATTAAAGCTCCATCCTGTTTGGATCATCTGCTTCCCGGTGACTCACTCTGACTTGCTTGAATTAATAACAGAGTCAATCTCAAACCGGCTAGGATCCTGGGTTGCTCCCTAATTAGGCCCAGGACACATCCCTGCCTATCTCCAAAACTCACCCCGCGTCCTGACCCGACCCAAGCAGTCGACCTGCAGATGTGCAGAGGGAGGAGAGCTGCTCCACAAGACAGGGGTGGGAAGGGAGGAATAACTCGAAGGAAAATGTAAGCTTAAGTATCATCGGATCTTCCTGATCTATCGGGCTGTGGAACAAACTCCTCAAGGGAAGCAGATTGGACAAAGCACTAGAGAATAGATTGGAGGGAGCGATCCTGCATCAGCCCGGGACAGGATAATCTCATCTATGCAGCGTGCCAGTGACTAGCCGAGATCCAAAGGGACCTCCCATCCCTCCTGACGAAAGGGGGGGGGAACCATTCTCGATGCTCAGTCGTGGGCACTTACACACACACAGGGCACGTAACCCTGTTCTGGAGGGAGGCATTACTCTTTGCCAAGGTACAATTAAATTAGACTGGGGGCTTAAGGGAGATAGGAAAACTCCAGCCATAGTCCGAACATTCTGGGTTGAGCAAAAGGACCTTACATCCATGCTCTTGGATCTGCACTCAGCCAAGCTAATGCCTTATTTCATTAGTTCTTGAATACGACAAGACAGAATCCCAACCCCCTGGGGCGAGTGAGCCAGCCCACAAGTTAGTTTACTTTTTGCATTTCATTAAATTCAGCCAATTAAACTAGACTGATCGGTTTCACTTCCTGGTTCTCCGACCACAATGCTGCAGTGCACCAGCCACAATGCTGCAGCGTTTAAGCTGTGAACAATGTAGGGATGTGTTCAATGAAACAAATTCTCTTCTCACTGAAAGGCAAGAAAACATGTGTGCAGTTATTTAAAACCCCACAAACTTCAGACTGGGATCTCCACAAAGCTGCCAACATCCCTGTAATCAGATTGCCACTTCCTACCGGCAACTCTCAAGTTCCAATACACCGGGAATGGAAGAGAACAAAGGCAATTAGGTAAAAATATTAGCTTTCAAATGAATGGACACAAATGATGATGTGATTAAGGTGCAGCAGAGGGAGTCCAGGCCCAAGGGATTTATTCCTGATTCTGCCATTGATTTACTTGTATGATCCTGGATAAGTCACACTGCCCAGAATTTTCTAAGAGTGACGTCTGACTTTGGCTGTCTCCATTTTTAGGGGATACCTGAGCACCCACAGTTCTCATTGACTTCAGCTGGAGCGGTCTCACCCTGGCTCCGAAAAATCAAGTGCAAGTCCTAGTCTTCTCAAGTTGTGCACCCAAAACTTGAGCCATCAGAAAATCTGAGACCATGTTGGGAAATGCTAACTTTAACTTCTCCTTGCCTCAGTCTCCTGGTCTGTAAAACGGGAAGAAGAATGGTGCCCTTTTCCCCAGGGATCTTGAGAAGCTTAATTAATTACAGCCAAATGCAACCCTCTATTATGCCCATGCAGCCCCATGGACTTCTTTAAGGCATTTGGATGAAAGGTGTTATCTAAGTGCAAAGGGCTTATTAACAAACTAGGGCAAGTTGCACTCTCTCTTACAACTCTCCTCATGCTTTCTCCCTATGTCTAACTTGGGAGACAAGAGCTATTTAAAGAGGCCACTGACTTTCCTGTGCGTCTTTTAGTTGATTGAAGCTACTGCTTTGCCTTTCTCCAGAACCGTCCATTCTAAGGTCTGAAAGCTCTTTACAACCTATCAAGAAATTCAGCCTCGCCTTGGGAGGTAAGGAAATATTATTAGCCCCATTTTACAGCTGGGGAGGTTGAGTCATTTGCTCAGTGTTATGGGGCAAGTCAGTTGCAGAGATGAGAACAGAATCCAGCAGTCCTGACTCCCAGTCCTTTGCGCTAATCATTAAGTCATGATGTCCTGCTTTTACATAGACAGAAACAATCCTAATGTTACTTATTCTAAGCTAACAACATATCCTAATGTGACAAATTACTAGTTACTACGTTATTTAGCACTAATAAAAAAAGAAAGATCATTTCAGAAAATCTGAGTTTCAAAAAAAGAAAGATTTGATTTTCCAATTAATTTACAAAAAAATTTTGATTCTTTTCCCAAAATTTATTTCAAAATGTAATTTATCTTAAAAGCTCCACATAATTAAACCATGTAATTACAAATACAAGTTTGTCCCTTTTGTAAGTAATGTTCTTACTCAAAATAAGTCTGGACTTAGTTTTCCTTCAAGTGATAAAGACATAATTGAGGCACAGTGTCCATCAAAAAGTACATAAGATTGGCCATACTGGGTCAGACCAATGGTCCATCTCGCCCAGCATCCTAGTGGCCAGCTTCAGAGGGAATCAAAACAACAATCATTGAGTGATCCACTCCCTGTCGTCCACTCCCAGCGTCTGGCAGTCAGCAGCTAGAGACACCCAGGGTACGAGGTTGCATCCCTGACATCTTGGTATTAGCCATTGATGGACTTATTTTCCATGAACTTATCGAATTTTTTGGAATCCCGTCTTAGTTTTGGCCTTCACAATATGCGCTGCCAACAAGTGCCACAAGTTGACTGTGCGTTGTCTGAAATTAAAGACAAGTTATACCACACTTATTTCAGCAAGTTGCTGAATACCTCTGCTCTCCTTCCCTTGGGTCTTTGTCTAGAAAAGTTTACTTCCATTGGGAAAAAAAAAAAACACAACGATGACAGGCTATTCCAGCCCTGGGCTCCCCTCCATGTAGCTTGGCCAATGTACCTCAAGCATTGGCTACAGCAGTCCCCGGCTAGAAGCTATTTATTCTTCCTGAATCGCACTGAGTAAAGAGAAGGGTTCCACTGGGCCTTGCTCAGGGGCCCTTCGGCTGGAATAGACCACATTTCTTCCCATTCGAGGAAGCACACACCCAGATATTGAATGGGAAGAGCTCACTTGTCATAGGTATTCACACCTGGGACTTTTAACCAAAGCCAAGAACTTTGCAAGACAAAGGCAAGCATTTTTCCCTACCCATTGCTGCTGGAGATGCCAGCTTCTAGATGAAATGTAGAACTGAAATCCCCACCACATGTATCCCTTTCAGATCCTTGGGGACGCTGTGTGTAACGGGAGGGGTTAACGCCAGCCCTTGCTAGCTAATAGCACCTTGGCAACCTGCAGTTTCCACTGATCTGAGGCATCTATTTCCTGCCCTTCATATTGTTGCACAGTGCCACTGTGCACTCTTAAACTGCTGCCCTGCTCCACTCCAGAGGTAGGAAAAGCAATCCTCACACAGCCGCTGGCCAGCTCACAAAGGTGTTGCAAAGCTTAACTAGTTAACGTGTATAAAGCATTTGCAAGTCTCGGATGGGAAGAGCTACAGAAGGGCAAAGAGTCACTGAATTGGCAGAGGATACGTAAGCTTGTCATTTGCACCTGCTGGTATGCAGCTACCCTGATCGGCAGCATCCCTAGTCATTATCCCTCTCCTATCACCAGATCAGCTCGTTCCTGTAAATCCTGACCTACACAATTCCCTGTTATTTCAGTCCCAGGCCTCCCACACCCGGCTTGGAATAGACCTTGATCCTGTCCCCACTATTCCAGGATGGGGCTCCTCCACACACAGCTCTGCTAGACCTGACCTGCAGCAGCCTGTGGGCAAAAGCTGCCGGCTTGAGATGGGTTTCATTTATATTTGTTACCTAACGCAACCTGAAATCCACACGCAAAGGGGCACAGCAGTCTGTGCTGGTGCATCAGGCTAGAGTACAGTCTGGTGGAGCCATCTCCACTTGCATCATCAGGAAGCACATTTTGTTCTCAAAAATCCTGCTCACAGCATTACCCGAGTTCAGAGACCACAAAGAGACCGAGATCTTTAAATAGGAACTATAAGAATGAATACATAACAAGCCAAGGCAAAAAAGGGCCAGATTCTGATCCTCTGACACACGCTGAATTTTACTCCTTCCAAAGTAACATGAAAGCCAATGAGACTACTCACAGAGTAAGTGCTATCCAGCATAAGTACAAGGATCAAAATCTGTCACCCCTCATCCTCCCACTTCTCTTTACCTCTTTCCCCAGGCACCCTTCTGGCTCTGATTAAATACAATAATGAATGGAAGTGCATTCCTTATCAAATTCTTTTCTTTTCAGTCAGATTCTCAGTCTCAATGGTTGGCTTATTATTCCAGTTGAAAGCGTGAAGCCCAAGGGAGGACCTATGCAATATGTATCGTGCGCTCAAACTTGTAGGCTGCCAACGCTGTTCTCTGCAAACAAACCAAGCACCCATACACGCCCCAAAGAGAAAGCTTTTCAAACTTGAAATTTAAGTGTAGTCCATTGTCAGGTTCGGAGCAACTTTACAAAAATGGGTCCAGTTAAACAAACAAAAAAATCATCAATTAAGTTAAATTCAGTTACATGGGTGCAACTCCTGCGCGGACACACTTAACTCTCTTTGCAACAGATCAAAGTAAGCTATGCCAATATCAACCAATGTGAACAGCTTTACGTGCACCCACACACAGGTTGGCACAGGTGCAACTCAACTGATTTTAACACAAGTGGTACCACTTGCATGTTGGCAAGGTCCAAGTGCAATCTCCCAGCAGGCAGTTCCTCTCTCCTTCACCTGGACCGACTCCTGGGGCTCAATCTTGCAATATTCCATGAGCAATATTCCCACAGAACCCGACAGGCATACTGCCGGCGGAGTGCTTGCAGGGTCAGGAGCCAGGCATCCAGGATGGGATTCAGTCTCGTCGAGACATGGCCACCTGCTCATCTGATCAACTTGTTAAAAAGCAGTGACAAAAAAATAACTCGCTAGCAGAACGCAGATGACCAGCTCACTGGTCCCCCAGCTGCTCTGTGAGGGCAAAGCAAACCCACCCAAGACACATTTCAGGCAGTTTCAGCCAAGGGAACGCTATAAAGAAAGGTGACAAAGGAAGAGAGGGGAGCTGCCATGTACCAGTGTTTCTTACCTTCATTGGTTTTCCTCTTGCTAATACAGAGCATATATATGCTCCACTCCCGCTCTCCCATCCCACCCACGCCCACAGAGCCTCCTGCAATCCCAGTCTGCTCTGCACCTTTCAGGTGTACCAAATGCACAGTGAGCCCTGAACCACATTCCTTAGGCTAATGCGGAATCCTGGGTCCTGCCCCATGGGGTGCTGCTCAGAAGGCTAGACCTGCCCCCAGCTGGGTTATTCCCAGACTTGGCTGATTGGTCCCTGACTGCTCACTATCTAAAATTTCCCTGGATTTACCCTATTCTAGCTGCTGTCTGAGCAGCTGCCTACCTCTGTCCTAGTGCACCTCACCGGCCTTCTACCTCACAATGACCCATGAGAGATGGTCCAGTGAATGGAGCACAAGCCTGGGTTGTTGGAGGCCTGGGTTCAATTCCTGCAGCATCACACACATCCTAGGTAATCCTGGTCAAGTCACTTAGTCTCTCTGGGCCTCCATTCCCCAGCTGTCAAGTGGGAGTGTAGTGCTCCCTTACCTCACAGGGGGGTTGTGAAGATATTGAAGACTGGTTCTCAGATACCACAGTGGTGGGGGCTAGGTAAGCACGATAAATGGACAGTACTACGTGTCCATCTCTCTCCCCGTCGCCTCTCATGAGGAGAAGGAGGGCAGCTCTGGGCCCTTCTCCCTCCCAGAGAGATTCCCAGGCATCACACAACGAGCACGGGACACTCTGAAAAGTGCTGCGAAGGAAACCTGGAGGAACAGCCCTGACACAGAAACTAGAGGAGGGGCAGCAAGACAGACTGGTAACAACCAGTATCGAGCAGATCAGAGATGGGCTAGGCCACAACTTGGATGGGAGCCCTCCAAGAGAAGGGTTACATAGCTACATGGAAGGACACACGGGAAGTGGAACTGCTGACACTAAGTGGGGCTATTCCCTCGTATTGATGCCAGCACTGCTGGCCACATAGAAGTTAGGTCCTGACCGGCTGTGGTCATTAAAGAGCTCTGGTAAATTTGGGGAACTGAAGGGATGTTAGCATGTGTGTCCCAACAGAATTATATCCTATTACCTCAACACCCACCGCAGTTTTGACGGGGGTATAAAACTGCCTCGCTTCCCAAATAGTTGTATAAGTATTACTGTTAAACAGCTGCCATCTTCCACTCCAGAGGGGGCTGCATTTCATTGCTGCATATAGGGATTCTTTCACTTTACAGCCTTCATCTATTCCACAGGTGTCTTTGTGAGGCTTCAAGCCCTTTGCTGATTGATTAGAGACCCTCCTGGTATTACTCCTCCATCCCTTCTCTCCCACTATCTCCCCTCCTCCCTCTCATCCACTCCTCTCCCCAACCTGAAATCTCCATCTAGGATATCCCCGGATCCCTGGCGCTGCCGTATTGGCTGCTGCGAGCACGGTCTGAGAAATGGCAGCAGATGGGGCCTCGAGGCCCGTTCCTGACAGATGGCTGCTTTCCCCGTAACACAGGATGGGGGAAACCAGAGATGATGGAAGGCCCTCGCTGGCAGTTTCAACAGAGATACAAAGGAGAAGGGAGATGCCTGGGTGAAGGGAAAGGGCTTCATTACTGGACAGCGCAGACCAGACAAGAGGGCAGCTGAGCTCTGGGACTTGGTCTCTTGGGGTTCTGGTCAGTCACATGCTAGCAGCAGGTTTGCCCAGAGACACGCATGCGGAGGGGAAGCCCCCCCACCTCCTACTCACCATTGACCGTGAGGTGCACCCAGCTGCCGTTGTGGAAGGTGTCGTACTGCTGATCCAGCATAAGCACTTTGCACTCGTACCAGCCCTGGTCCTCGGAGCGAATCTGCTCGATGCGCAGGGACGCCTTGTCATGAAGGCTGGCGCGGCCTGGAAGAGACACAGGGTCAGAGGGACTCAGCTCTCAGCAGGGAAAGGGGGCCCTGAAGGCGCAATGCAGCATCAGCCTCACCCCTCAACCCACCACTTGACACCCAGCCTCTCAAATGGCACTTACAGAGGCTGCGGGGAGTCCACCCTGCTCCCAGCCGAGGCTGGCTCTCCGCCACTGGACATTGAGGCTGGGCTTTTTCAAAAGGGGCCACCGATTTCTCTCTTTTTGGGGGCCCAACACTACACAATGCACCGCAGGCCCAGTTTTCCAGGCACCGCAAGGCCTGCTGACTTCAAAGACAGCTGCGGACGCTCACCTCCCACAGGGGTCTCAGGTTGGGCACCCAAGAACTGAGGCCCCTGGAATTAGAAGCTGCTTTAGAAAGTTCTCACTTGCCCATACAGTCAGCCAGGATATCCCTGCTGACAATCAGCCCCATGCTAAAGAAGATGGAGGCGATGCACACTGCAAATCTGAGATCTATGCCACAGGGACATAGGAAGGGCCAACAGACCATGAGAGAGCAGGAGGTCAGGGCCCCGTGGATTCGGAGCTCATCTGGGACACAGGGCTTCATCTCATGTCTCAGAAAGGAAGACGACCTGCTGCAAGGAAGTGTGCCTAGGATTAAGAGCACCTGCTCTGCTGCCAGCAGAGGGGCCCTGCACGGACACACGTCAGATTGGCTCCAGCACCGTGCTGAAGCCAATGTGTGTCCTGTAGCCCTTTCACCGGCCACTGCTGCCACAGAATTGCTCCCTCTGAAAGGCAGCCCAGCCCTCCCGCAGGAGGACGCTCCAACATGCCCCCATTCTGGGCTAGCACACATCACTGCATCCAGGGGACAGGCCACGAGACAGGCACCCTTCACTTCTAGGTCAGTCTGTTCCATGTGCGCAGTGACTCAGAGCTACCCCATGCAGCTGTGGGGCAGCCGGCATGCCAGGGGAGCCTCACAACCCAGCTTCCAGTGCTTAAGTGCTCCCACCACAGAAACCACCAGCCCCGCTGGCTCTAACCCACCCCCCTGCTGACCAAGGACGGGCTAGAGCACAGAGAGCCAACTCCACTCAAGGTGACGATCCAAAGCAGCCTTGAGGCATGAGCCGAGGAGGCCCGAAGTTGAAGTGACTCGCAGCAGAGCCAAGGGCAAACCAGGGGCGACCTGCGGCTGATGCGCAGGGTTGGTGGGGAGGTGGAATAGGGCAGGCCAGGGCACAATCGCAGGCCAGAGCGAGAGGACGAAAACCCCAGCCCCTCATGAGAGAATCATTTTCTTCCTGGCCAGAGAAGCACACAGCAAGCCACCAGCTCGTTTCCCTGCTGGACACCCTCCAGGGACTGCCAGCTCCCCAGCCACACTGCCTGCTGGGAATCAGGGCTCCTGGCCAACTCCCACCTGGGAGTGATGGCACTGGCTGGAAGCGGAGGCAGGGCTGGAGTATTTGAGACTCTCCCTTGCTCCTAGGGTGCGCACACACACACGCACCCCTTATCCCTCCTCCCCTTCCTGGAGAGCACCGCAGGGAACTGATGTACCTACCTGCAGGAGGAAGCCACCCCCTTCCCTCCCCCCATCCCCGGTCAATACCTCCTTGGCAGTAACCCCTCTATTGTCTGCCAAGTCCCACGCACAAGCCAACCATACAGCTGTAGGGTGCCTCCCTGCCTCCTGGCCAAGGGACTGCTCTCCCGCGTCCTGTTACTCTCCCCATCTCACTGGGGGATCATTCAGGGGCAGCTGTGCATCTCCATGGTTTTAGTTTAGGGTCCACCCAGGCCTGGGATCAAAGCCCACATGGTAATAGGCTCCCTGCCTCCTCCCACTCCCCATCCAACGCTTCAGGACATGGATTGCGCGGCATTTATTCTCCATCTCCAGTGATCCCTCCTCCCCTACCACCACCGTGCAGCTCCGTGCACCACATGCAAGAAACAGACACTGCACCTCCAGCTCCCTGCTGCTTCAAGGGGCCAATTGGCAGCGGCCAGAGGGGATTGGTAGGGCATTTAAGGAGATGCAATAGCTTCTCACCCCAGGGCTTTGCACACCTGCCACAGTCACCAGAGCACAGGGACGACCCCTTCTGCGCCTCATCCCCTCCCCCACCAGGATAGTCAGCTGCTGCTACATCTCCAACACGTTTCCCTGTCCTGATCTGCCTTGTGAGATCCCAACCCTCCTTAGGTCCCAGAAGCCATAGGAGGCTACAGGGGACTATGAGATGGTGAAGGGATGCAGCACAAGCCCCTAGGAAGCCAGTGATGGGCAAACGGGGCTGCACGGGGCAGAGGTCCCCATGGGAAGCAGGCCTATGGAACCACCCACGGGGACACCTCACTGCCTGCTCTCCCTTTCCCCTTCCCCTCAGGCAAGTCTGGGCGTGGGGGGGGGGGGGAAGAGATAGCTCAGTGGTTTCAGCATGGGCCTGCTAAACCCAGGGTTGTGAGTTTAATCCTTGAGGGGACCATTTAGGGATCTGGGGCAAAAAAAAATTGGGGACTGGTCCTGCTTGGAGCAGGGGGTTGGACTAGATGATCTCCTGAGGTCCCTTCCAACCCTGATATTCTATGAAGTCGCTCCACAGGGTCAGGCCAGTCTCCTTGCTTAAATTGGTTAGTCTCTAAGGTGCCACAAGTCCTCCTTTTCTTTTTGCGAATACAGACTAACACGGCTGCTACTCTGAAACCTGCTTACTCAGTTCTCCCCCGCCCACCCGCTTTACAGAAGTGCTGAGCTCCCCCAGCCCCCAGATACACCAGCAGCAGGGGCCTGGTGTCTGAGAACCGCCGGCTCTCTCAACAGCTTGGACGCTGGCCTTACACCTTGGGGACCTCTGGATCCAGTACCTCCTGACTCAGTCCCGCCCCACTCACCCAATTCATTCTCACCCGCCCCCCGGAGGGGTGTCCCCTGGAACCAAACCACCAGTGGGACAGGGCAAGACGCAGTGGAAGGACTAGTTCTCCTTGCTGCAGGGAGGAAATGGGTGGCAGCAGCTTCCTCCAGTGAGGACACCAAGCAAGGCTCCTGTCCCCAAAAGCAGCAGCCCAGGCTCTCCGCTGTTCCCAGGGAGCAGCAGCACCTGCCCTTAGTTTTGCTGCCTTGGCTCCTTCCATCCCACACAGCCCAGCTGGCTTCCCGATGCTGCTGCTTAATTAAAGCCAGCCGCATGGAAAGAATGGAATGAAAGGGAGAGGGGGAGAGTGTCTTTCCTGGAAGGGGGCAGACAGGAGACAGTCCTGTGCCGAGCAGCCAGCTCTCACTGCGCTCCTCACACACAGTCAGCATGCTGGGGAACAGAGCAGAGGAATGCCGCCCTCCCCGGATGGCGGGGGGGTGGAGGATGTGCTTCAGGGCCGGAAGACACAGCATGCATCTGCCTCAGCCTACAGCAGGTCGGTCGCTCCGGGTGAAGATGCTGAAGCACCAAGCCCAGCGGAAGGGCCACGGAAGCCCCATCCCCTCTCAGCACAGGAGCCCATGGCTCGGAGACTCACCTGCATACTCTGGGTCCACATGGGGAGGGTAAAACCCAAACTTGATGAAGATGGGAATGGGGACTCCGAATTTGAACCACTCCACCACATAGGGAGGGGGCTGCCCGGTCAGCGGATGGATCACGTCGCATCCCAGGATCACGCTCTCGCCAGCACGAGCGGTCACAAACTCGGGTTCCTCCCTTGAGCCGTGGGCAGCTGGGAGAAAACAAAACAAAAAACGAGCTGGGCAAAGTCAGTGGCTTTTATTGCAAGCAGCCCCTCTCCTCACTCCTGCAGGTACACATGCCGACTCTTTCACAGGGCACACGAGAGCTTGGGTACCAGCAGTTGGGCCTGGTTAGGAAACGGAGACACTCCCTCTAGCAGCTGAGCTCCCTACCGCCACGCTGGGGTGTTGAGCAAAGGAGCATGCCCCGACCGTGCAGCAAGTCGCCCACAGCGCCATGCTAACGAAGGGCGCACGGCCAGGCTCTGAAGGGCAGCAAGCCGGCAGCACAGTGCCCCCTGATGTTAGCCAAAGACTAGGCGCAGACCAGGGCAGCAGGGCCACGTGGAGGAAAGCCAGCAGACTAAGAAGGATATCCCACTCCACAGGCCTCTGTTGCGGCTCGCCATGGCGCCGGGGATGGATCGTGCTGGCCTCTCCGTCAGCAGTTTGAGAACGGGAAACACTATACAAACCTAGAGAGTCACAGCATCCAAAGGGCAACATGTTCCCAGTAAGCTCCTCCACCCTGCTGGGAAACAGCTGCTACCGCAACCAACACACAACTCCGGTCCCCTCAGCACGTGGAGACTCCCTCCAAGGTGACGTTCCTCTCAAGCTCCCACATGCGGGTGCCCCTGCCTCCCCGTTCTGGAGGAAGAGGAGGGGGAGGTGCGGGCAGGAAATGCACAGCTCTTCGATCCGCTCTGCATTGCTGAATAATCTCTTCAGGGACGCCTCTCCTCCCTTCGGCAGGGGAGACATCCAGTCGCCCCGCCAGCCAGTTATCGCAAGGCGCTACGAACCCCTGGAACGGGCCTTTCGAAAGGGGAAAGAGCCGACGCCACCCAGGCTCAGCCCAGCAGGCGGTGACAGCGTCATTAAAACAGCTGCTCAATTAACTGGATGCCTGACACATCCAGCCCCAGACCCTGGGCCAGCCCTGCCCTTCACCCCGAGCCTCTGGCCACCCAGCCTGCCACAGGCATCTCCCCAGAACAGGACACCTATCCCATAGCTCCTCACCCCCCTCCCATGTCCGTACCCCACTAACCTGCACCAGCCGTATCACCCCCTCCCGAAGACCAGAGCTAGCCCCCACCGTCCAAACAGGCATCTTCCATCTCCCCCCAAGCATGCTGCCAGCCCCTTCCCCACACGCTACCGGGAGCCTGCAGCTAGCCCATTTCCCCTTGCGAACACAGGACTCTCCCCAGGCTTAGCAGGATTGGGTCAGGTCAGGTCACTGCAGGAGAGAAAGACCCACGTGCTGCAGAGAACGGTGCTGTGGCGCTCTTTCCTTTGAGTCAGCTCTGACCCCAAAGCCGAGGGGGGGCTAGTTTGCTGACGACGCTCCCTTTCAGATCAGTCCTGCAACCAAAGGCCCGTTGTGCCACTGAGGTTCTGGTAACTAACCCCTCTGCAATTTCAATGCTGAACAGCTATGTTCACCCCAGGGCAGGTTATGTTTCAAGGCCAGGTAAAAGCAAGCCCTGGCACTCTTCATTCATAGAGCTCAGAGTGTGTTACTAAGGTCAGCATCCTTCGCCCCAATTCCCAGATGGGGAAACTGAGGCACAGAACGACACCGGGACTTCCTCGCAGTCACCCAGCAGGCAGTGGCAGAGCCCGAAACAGAAGCCACATCTCCGGAGTCCAAGGCCAGTGCTTTATCCACTAGGCCACACTGCCTCCCCTACATGGCTCCGCCGGGCTTTGCACAATCTCAGGGATAATGCAGTGGTTTGTGGTTCCCCTTGGAGTATATACGGCAAGCTATTAGTCGGTACAGGATTTGCGAGAAAAGTGCAGGGCTCACAGCAGCTTGCTGTGGCATACCCGCTCCTCCCCTTCTCCATCCTTTGAGCCAGCTTCAGAGAAGAGGCGAACCAGCTGTTCTCCTACAAGGGCTGGGAGGTGGGTGGGAGCCCACGCAGTCCCACCCTGCACAGGCCCATTCAAGGGGTCTCTCCACAGCAGGAGCTGTGCCGTAAGGCCTGTGGGTACCATACTCATGGCACACAGGGCCAGCCTCTGCTGCCAGCCAGCCCAGCTCAGCGTGACAACGGCAAGGAGAGAGAGTTAAAACCCTTGGCAACCCAGAAATCCCACAAGCTTCACCCCACCAGCCTCCGCACAATCTTACCAAGTCAGGGCCGGAGCAGCTGTTAGCAGCCCCCTGCCGCTCCTACCCCATGCCCCACAGCACCCCCTGCCGGGAGCGGCTAGCTCTGCTGTTCCTCTGAGCGCCTTGCGGCGGCCAAAGCATCCGTTACAGGGAAATGCTGCGAGCTCCCCCAAAACTAGCGCTCCTATAAAAGATGTCGGCAAAGCAAGGCTGGGGCTTAAAAAGCCGTCAGCCACATCACCACCCGCGTCCTGCCCCACTCCCTGCACAGACGCCTGCTGGAAGAGGCTGGGGGCTGGAGTCGCTGTGCACTCCCCTGTCGGCCATGTCATTTCCCAGGGGCAGGGGAGCAGCGGTTTTTAAAAGCTCCTTTCAGTCAGCTCCTGCCTGGATCCTGCAGAAGCCAGAGCCTGGGGAATCAGGGAAGCGGCTCCGTGGGCCTGCGGCTTCGGGTATCGGAGCTTTTATAGCGTGAAAAGGCTCCTTTCCGCAGGCAGCCGGGAAGCTGCTCAGGCTGCCGCTACCTCCACCAGCGAAGAATCTTCGTTCTTCAGGGAGGCATGTTCCCAGATCCTTCGCTCTGCTCTTCAGGGCCAGCTTTGATTGGCCAAAAGTGACATCACTGTTTTTCCACAACAGGAGAGTAAGATCCCTGGTTATTTTTGGCTCGGACACAAACGTAAGCCAGCAAACAGCCCCCACGGGCAGGCCGATAACCAAAGTCCCTTTGGGGACGCAGGAGCCAGGTGGCTCTGGCACCTGTTGGGATCGCGTAGGCAGCAGCCAGAGACTCGCTCCTCTGCCAGCCGCGCCAGTGCAGGGAAAAAACATGCACCAGCCTGATAGCGCAGGGCCACCAGCCAGGAGCGGAGCACCCCGGCCCAGGCACGGGAATGGGCGAAGGCTATGGTGTCTGTCGCCGGAGGAGGAGTGTGCCCGGGGTGACGTGTAACAGGGAGAAGGGTGGCAGAGGGGTGGTTGGGGTGCAGGTGTATTAGGAGGGACCTGGGGACAATAGAAGGGTTTACGCTGGGTGTGGTCGCATGCGCAGAGGAGTAGACTGGGCACCTGGCATGTGGGCATGGAGGGGCTCTCTCTCTCGCCTGGGAGTGTAACTGATCACTCGGGTCATGCACGCAGGCACACCCCACCAGGAAGCAGGGGCACGTCTAAAAGCAGGGGGGAGCCACGCAGCAAGGAGCTGCAGCCTTCTCCACCACCATCATCCCACCCCCGGCCTTCACCATGTACAGGATTTGTTTGCACCTTGCTGGGCCTCGTTATCGCTGCATTTCTAATGAGGCCAAGGCTTTCGCACCTCATCAGCTGATGGGGTGACTTCAGCTGCCACCCCACCCCTGAAATCTGCAATGCTTTGAGGGACTGGCATCCATCCTCTCCCACTCCAGTGCCCTGGGGCCATTTCCTTGTGTGCTACTATCCTCTCCTCCCACAATGCAACCACCCCATGCTACGGGGACCAAAGCCATGGCTTGCTAGCCACAGGCCAGCTCCAGATGCACCCCCGTAGCTCTGGAGTGACTCCTGCTTTCAGATGCCGCAGCAGGCTCCGCACAGCGTAGCAGAGATACAGCACAGCCGCCGCAGCAGCGAGAGGGAGGGGCTGGGGTCTGCACAGGGCATTTGAAGGCCAAACCGTTCCTCAGGCCTCAGCCGGCATCTGAGATCAAACTGCCCAGGAGCCTGGTCCGAGCCAGCAGGAGAAATCATGGGGTTTGCCCGGAGATCCCCCAACCACCTGCCTAGCTCCCCAGTAGGACCATCTCCCCCCCCCCATCAAAATGTGACCGCAGCCACCAGATTCAAACCGATGCTGGTGAGGGTGCCTTGTGGGAGCCAGAGTTGGGACAAAGGAAGGAGGGGCAGGCTCCCCTGCTAGTCACAGCAGCCCTCCTGGATGAGGGTCCAATCTCGCACTCCTGCTAATCTCCTTTAACTCCCGGGGGGGGAGTCAGGGAAGAGGGCGCATGACTGGCTGAGCAAGGGCTGCAGCATTTGGGTGACTTTACAGCCACCCCAGTCTGGGGACAGAGGGTGTTAGCCCTTCTGCCCCACAGGAAGATCTGCAAGACCTCTTTACCATGCCCCCAAGTCTCAGGGTACCAAGGACTTGCATCCATCCAGCCCCCTGCCCAACAGGGAGCGAGCAGGTTCCCACGCCCTCACCAGCCCAGTGCTCCCCGACTAGCAGCTTGTGCAGTGCAGAAGCTCGGAGCCCATCCAAGCCTTCGCCGGTACTCAGCAGCTGCAGTGTCTCCCTAACACACAGCTGGAGCCCTGCCAGCGCATGTAGGACTTAATGCACCTTGGCACAGTCCCCAGCTCTCTTCTCTCCAGTCAGCACCAGGCCCTCCATTCACCTGAGCAGCATTCAGATTTCCACGCGGCCGGCAAGAGCAGTGGAAGGGCAAGGGGAGGGGCTGGCTGGCGAACAGGGAACGACACACCACCATATGCACTGGCAGCGCCAGTTGGTCCCATACTGCCGCCTGTGCCCTCCAACCCAGGAGCACTGGTGGGATGAGTGTGCCAGGCCTCAGCCATACCATCCCAAAGGGTCTGGGCAGCGAGTGAAAGATCAACCGAAGAGGGCTTCGATATTTGCCTTACACGCCTCAGACATGGCCTCAGTGCAAGAGCCCCCTGCAGTCCGTGGGAGTGGATGGTGCTCAGCACCTCACAGGATCGGGCCAGGAGACCCAGAGGCTGCCTCACTGGAGGGAGAAAGCACAGCAAGGGCCCCAGAAACCCAGCAGTAGCGGCTCTTGGTACTGATGCAGCACCAGCTCCCTTCTCCCCCCATTCCAAAGCAGTTTCCTCCGCCAGCTCCAGCTTCTCGCC